TCAAGCGCACTCGAGTAATAACGGTCGTGGATTCTTACGTTATAAAATAATAAAAAAAATATGTTGTTTTGTATCTTAAACTCAAAAACTATACTTCACTGGTCTCATATTTATATATTCTTTTATTTTTTGCACGGAGTTTACGAAATATTAGTATTATATTGGGAGATAAATTAGAAATAAAGATAAAAATACTAAATTAATCATATTAGTATTGTATGATATAAATGTAATGAGATTTATGTAATATATTGTAAATTGGAAGGGTATTTATAATCTTAGGACCAAAATGAAAAAAAAAATTGATAAATTGCTGAGGGATGGAGGGAGTACTATTCAGTCTATATAATTTTTGAGAAAAATATATCATTTTATTTTACAAAATATCATATTAATATACTAATTAAATAATAAAAAAAACTCAAATTTAAATCTAAATCCTACACTCTTAAGTATATTTAAATTTTTTTATTTTTTATTTTTTTAAATTTCAGTATCAAATCTTTGGTCAATTATTGAAGCCAATTTGATTGTATCTGCTCTCGAAATTAATTACAATTATTTTTTTCTTGGGAATGATGATGTCGTTCATTAATGACTCATGACTCGATTAGGACTTGTTTTTCTTCGAAATGATTTTTTATTTATTCGTAGAAATTATTAATTAAATAATTTAAATAAATAATTACGCAAAGAAGCATTTTAGATGGTTCATCGCTCAGATAAGAATCTCGAGTGCTAAATTCGATGTGGGACAATACTAATTTTATTATTATTATTATTATTATTATTATTTAAAATAATTAGTAGTTAGTGTCAGAGTTAATTAATTAATAAATTAATTAACAACCGACAGCGGCGCATTTCATGCTCCCATGTATCCTATTTTCGGATTATTACACACCTAATAGCTCTTGGGCCTTGGAAATTGGGCCTTTCCTCGTTTTTTGGGCCTGACAAATTAGTATAAGCCCACCAATAATTATACTCCATTATTATTATTATCATTATTATTATTATTATTACATCAATTTACTTTAAATTTAATTTAATTTTGTTTTATTTTTCATGCAATCTTCAAGGTTCAAATTAACCAGAAACACTATTTTGAAATACTATGGCTGTGATATTATTTATATAATACTCCCTCTGTCCAGTTAAAAATTATACATGTTTCTATTTTTGGGACGTCCAATTACAAAGTAAACATTTCATTAAATACCTTACTTTTTTCCACAAATACCCCTACTTTACATCACATCATTACTTTTACACCAAAAAGCAAGGGCAAAAATATCATTACACTACTTTTAACTACCCACTATAATTAAAATACTATTATTTCTTAAATACCGCGCCAAAAGTAATTGTATACTTTTTTTGTGGACGGAGGGAGTAATATATATCTTAAATACTCCCTCCTCTCAGATACCGTGTCTGCTACACTGTAGACACTGTATTTTATAAGAGGTGTAATTAGTAGATAATTAAGAATGTATTACTGAAAATAATTATCCTATAATATAAATAATTATAAATTAAGATTAAGATAACTAATTAGTTTAATTAAAATTTAAAAAAATAAAATTTAAAAATTTAAAATGAGATTAAAGTGTGTAATTATTTTCCAAAAAAGGAAAGTGACATGGTATGTTGGACGGATAAAAACGGCAACGTGAACATAGTATCTGGGACGGAGAGAGTAATATGCCCATCCAATATAAAATGTCCAACAAATCTTCTTTTTATATTATTTAACACACACATGTATATTATATTTAAACAATACTATGATGTAATGTTTTGTCAAATAAAATAAATTTTATGTTTGGTTTTCATTTTTCTTCCCATAAAAATATATTTTTTTCTTTGACAAAATTTCAAATCAAATTACTATTAAATAAACTTAAACCACTCAAACTACGATTATACAAATTTAAACCAAACATATGTGTAGAATATTTCTATTGGGTTTGCATGGAAAATAAATAGTAAAAATAATAATTAAAAAAAAAAGTTATAAAATACCAAACCTTTTAATCATTCTTTTATTTGCTTCGTAAAACATACATTTAATCATATATTTAATTAATATAATGTATATATATAAGAGCAAACAAAATTAAATTATTGCTCTTGTATGCTAATAATCATTGAATATATTGCACAAGACGCTAGAGCAATTATTTGGAGAACATTTATATATATAATTATTTTTACAGTACTTTTTCTTCTGTACGCCTCTAAGGTCTTATTTACCTTTTGTGTCATTATATTTAACATTAAAAATATTTTTATAATTGTATAATTTTTTTTTGTACAATGTCATTTTAATTAGTATTATAAGACACTAATAGAAGTATTTTTGCAATTTTTTCTTAATTTTTACTACGTTTTAATATAATAATTAATATTCAAATATCAATACGCAAAAAGTAAATAAAACGTTTAGAGCCAGAATGAGATAATATTATTTATCAACAAAATAACATATTTTTATAATAAACTGTGAATACCTAATCATTTTTTAAAAATATATATACACTAAAAAAATATGACTTTAATTACAAAAGCTTAAAATGTACAAATAATACAACAAATTCACAATGATTTTCTATATAAAAATATCATATCCAACATTTATTTACATTATCAAACACTATTTATTTTTATTATTATTATTTTTTTAATCATTTCTAGACCTCTTCAAAACTCTAAAATATATCTAAAAATATGACCTTAATTAATTTAGTAACACCAAGATTGATATTTATATATGATTCAACTTTGAATCTAGCTATCTAGCTAGCACATGATTCAAAGCCAAAGCATATTAATTAGTAACAATTTCGAATGTAATAAGTATGACACAAATTAGGACCACATAAATAAATAAATAAATAGATATAGATTTAATTGAATATATATATATATATTTAAATTAAATACATAATATATATGTTACATATTCTTCTCCTCGTGACCATAATTTGCCCTCTTTTGTTGGTTTCCATATTTCTCAGACAGATAATGACCCTCGTATCGTTTTAGCCAGCCAATCGGATAAGACACTGCCCTACAATTCTTCCACTGCTTTTCCATTACAATGCAATTTAATTAATCCACTGTACATACATATCATATGATCCCTCGCGTTTGCTTTTTAGACGTAAATTTTTAATATTAGTATTATAGTGGATTATAATAAAAAAAATAAAAATACCCTTATTAGTATAGTATAATATAAACGTAATGACATTTGTGTAATATATTGTAAGTTGAAAGGGTATTTATTATATTAGGTAAGTAATACAATTACTAAATTAAAAAATGGTAACCTTGTTTTGGGACGAACGAAAATGAAAAATGATAACCTTTCAATGGGACGGATGGAGTATATATATATATATTAGATTGCTGATTCGGCCAAGTCAGTACTATGTTGATTTGATCAAGTTAGCACACTAACATAAAATAATTAACAATCGATCAGAAAACGGATAACATATGTTGTGTCATTATAATATGCTTATTGTGCTGAAATTATAATACTCCCTCCGTCCAATTGGAAGGATGACATTTGTTTTTTGCGCGTAGATTTTTAAATATTAGTATTATATTGAATTGTAGTAAAAAGACAAAAATACCCCTATTAGTATGGTATAATATAAAAGTAATGACATTTGTGTGATATATTGTAAGTTGAAATGGTATTTATTATGTTAGATAGGTAGTACAATTACTAAATTAGGAAATTGTAACTTTGTTTTGGGACGGACGAAAATAAAAATGGTAACCTTTCAATGGGACGGAGGGAGTATATCGTGTTATATGTAATTATAAAATATGTTATGTTATATATTGTATTATCATTTGTTGTATAAGTTATATATTCCACTTATAGTTCTGAAATCAGATATATTATGTTATATTGTATTATATAATATGCTATCAAAAATATGTGTTATATATTATATTAAAATATATTCCCTCCATCCCATTTCTCATGTCCATCTTCCTATTTTCGTTCGTCCCACTTATTTTGTCACTTTTTTTTTTTTGGAAAAAAAATTATACATTTTAATCTTATTTTAAAAAAATTTAATTTATAATTTTTTTTTTTTGGAAAAAAATTATACATTTTAATCTTATTTTAAAAAAATTTAATTTATAATTTTTTTTATTTTAATTATACTAATAAGTTATCTTAATCTCTAATCATTTTTATTATACGATAATTATTTTCACTAATATATTTTTAATTATTTATTAATTATACCCCTACTAAATTCTTGTGTCTACACTAAAGTGGACAAAATATCCGGAACGGAGATAGTACTATTTTCTTTATACATATATGTTGATTGGATCAAATCAGCATCAACCATCTTCGTACAAAGCCATCTATACATACATACATACATAATCCATGCATATATATATATATATATGTAAATCATGTCCTACAATACCCTCTTTCTGTTTTATCTGCTCAGGGAAAACCACGACATATATATATATACACATACATATATACATACAGAAAAATAATCAAAATTCATGCTGACGCTGTACTACTATTTCCATATATTCAGGTGAAAATCAATTCATTAATTAAATAATTAGTTTGGGTTGTAATAAAAAGACAAACTTATTTATATATATATATATATATTATTTTTGAATATGTGTTAATTAAATTGTGTCTGTTTATATGTATAATTTTAATTTGGTGCTGCAGGTTTCGTGTATTTGCAGATTTAAAGTTTGGTGCAGAGAGGAGGACCACTTCACAAATTGTTGTAGTACTTACAGTTTTTATTACATCTGCGATCTGACTTTAATGTTGTTTGCTCCACTTTTGAATTAATTCATTAATTATTTGTGCAGAAATTTATGGCCTGAATTTGCTGGACAATATGTATATGTATTTTGATTTTCAAGCTTTTCTTTAATGGCGTCTGTGCTTAGTTTCTACACAAAAATGAATGCTACGATCATAATTAAAATGAATTTGATTTGTAATAATGGTGATTGGAGGTCGAATTACATTCTTGTATTAAAAAAGAGGAACTAATTAGGGTTTAATGTTTTGCTAATGTAATTAGGGTTTCTAATTGGGGATTTTGTAAATGTAATTTAATTAAGTACCTGAAGAAGACGACGACGATGAAGGGGACGGGAGGGAGTCTTCTTTACCGGCGGCGGTGGTGATCGGAGCTTCGTTTTCCGGCGAGGATAAATGGGGGCTGGCGGAGGAGTAGGTGGAGGAAGACGAAAAGGAGAGTGGAGAAGTGAAGGAATTCGCCGTCGTGGTGGTGGTGGAGGAAGACGAGCAGTTTTCATCAATGGCGGACGCCGCCGCCGCCGCGACGGCGTGGCGGAGCAGGAGGTCGACGAAAGCTCCGACGATGTATCCATGGTTGCTTTTGGAGTTGAATCGGAGGTAGCAGGCGAGGAGGTCCTCCAGGCAGTCCCAATCCTTCAATCCGTGCGCCTCCACCATTTCCTCCATGGAAGCTCTGAAATCGGAGTACGGATCGCAGGATTCCACGGCGAGGATCGAAACGGCGGCGCCGGCGGGTTTTGCTTCGTCGAGAATGGAGCTCGACTCGCCGGGGTGGAAGATGAGGCGGTCTGAACGTAATGCTCCGACGACGGCGAACTCGACGGCGGCGCCGGAATCGTCGTCGGCGGCGGCGGAGAGTTCGGTGAGAGCTTCGTCGTCGTCGTCGACGTAGGCGGAATTGATGGTTTTGAAGATGCCGTTATCGGCGGCGGCGGCGGCGGTGGCGCGGAAAGACTGGGTTTTGGGATTCGTAGCGCACGCCGGCCACGGCCACGGCGAGGCGGCGGCGGCGGCGGTGTCTGTGGATTTGGAGAAGAAGGAGAATTTCATATGGAGAGGATTGGAGATCTACTAGCGATTGGGAGTTTGAAATTTTGGCTGTAAATATTTAATGTGCTCTGAAAATCATTTTTTTTTATTTTTTTTTTTATATCGATGGATCGAAGTAATAAAAGCTCAGACAGAGTGGTTTTGGTGTTAGAACTTAGAACATAGGATGAATAGGGTCTCTCATTTATATATATATAAATAAATAAATATATATATTATCAATAAATTTATTAAAAATATTTTTTTTATTATTCTTATTATCCGCTCAAGGGATATATATGTATTTTTTTTTTTTAGGGATATACATGTATATTTTTTTTTCACAGAAATTAAAGAATAATAATAATAGTTAAATAATATTTTGTGGCATTTTTTTTATGTATTTACCTTTTATCTTTAAATTTAATATAATGATATTTACTAAAAGATATAGTGTGAACGGGTAAAACTTTGAAAATATTTATAATACTAAGTATTTTTAAATTTATTTTTTTTTCAAAATAATGAATGTATAGATAAACAAAAATGATCAAATATAGAATATATACTGAAGGAGTATTAGTTTTTAAAAAAAATTCAAAATTCTGAAAACTCCAAACTTCCTAGAATATCGAGAGCCTATTATTTTGGTATTTTTTATTACTTGATTTTATTTTTTAATATTTTGATTGGAAATTTAATTTTATTGTTTTGAATATGCATGATACACTTTGTTGTTAATATTTCATATATTTTGATAAAAAAGAAAAATTAATAATACAATGATATGTGGTACAAATATATATATATATATATGAAATTGATATAAATCATTTTTATATATTAAAAAAAATTGAATATATATATTTATTTATGTAAAAATGATATAAATAAGAAATTATAAGTAGAATCATTTTCTAATATTTGGGAAAATAAATGAGATGAAAATTGAATTTAAAAAAAAAAAAAAAAAAAACTCTAGTTGCTCTTTTGGTGATTTTTTATTTTAGTTTTAATTTTTATTCTGTAAAATAAAATTATATGTTTTTATATAAATTTGATTAAGTTGTACAATTTCTTTTTTTAAAGTACCAACCAAACAAATTAAAAATACACCCTTAATTAGTAGTAGTATTATTTTTAGTATACTAAATCTGTTTAAAATTCAAAAAGTTATACTCCCTCTGTTATGCAAATGTGTGCTAACTTGATCGAGTACGAGTTTTAATGAAAGTGAGTAATAATTGTTATTTTTTCCTTTTATAGTAAAAAAAATACAAAAGTGTAATAATTATTTACTTAAAAAAAACGAGAATATTTTTCGATGACAACCCAAAAATGAAAATGAACATAAATTTGAACGACGGATGAAGTATTTATTTGTGAGAAAAGAAGGTAACAGCGATATATTTATCTAATTTGATTGATTTTTTTAGTAAAGACTGATATGTATATTTTTGTAATAATTATGGTATTTTCCTAAATAGTGATGGTATAAAAGATGGTAAATAATTAGTTAGTCGTTGCTGAATGGGAAAATTGGAAATATTATTATTTTTGGATGTGAATTTACATCAGATTTAAAACACATTTTCATAATAATAATAATAATAATAATAATAATAAAAGGGAATATTTGTTCCACATTATATACTCCCTCTGTCCCAAAAATAATTTAGAAATTAAGTGATGTGATAAAGAGAAATATATATTTTATTTTTTTATTTGAATGATGTAAGAGGATAAAGTATGGGGTAGAGATTAAGTATAATTAATTATTTTCTATTTTGGAAATGTTTGACGATGTTTGAGACATACCAAAAAGAAAATATCATACCAAAAAATGAAATGTTGCAAGATCTTTAGGACGAGGGAGTAATATTTATCCATAATTATTAGTCAATTACTTTTTAAGGAAATAAATTTACCATTGCTATCCTTGATTGAATGCAGCATTAATTACGAACACTAATGGGAAGGGGTTTGAAATTAGTAATTAATTAATTATAGCATTCATTCATTAGGTGTACACTGTTTATTCATTTATTATATAGCTTTAAATGAGAAAAGAAAAATTAAAATTAAAATTAAAATATTCACACACGTACCTCATAAAGACTCATGAATTGATTAATGTGAAAATAAATAAATGCAAATCTTATCGGGTGAGTGAATTAATGCAACCAATAAAATGGCCGTTGGAAATTATTATTTATTACAAGCAATTTTTTCACAGGTATTAGTTATACGTTTTTTTTGTTTTTTTTTTTTTCGTCATTGTATTTAATATTAAAAATCTTCTTATATTGTATTTTTTTTTTTGTACAAATGTTATTCTATTAATATTATAAGATATTAATTGAAGTATTTTTGCAATTTTTTCTTAATTTATACTATATTTTGATATAATAATTAATATTCAAATATCAACACACAAAAAATAAATAAGACCCTTATAACCGGACGAATGTAGTAATTTTTAACGATATTGTTGTAATATTGTGTCAAATGTAAAAGTATTTTTTATTTAAATTAATGAATATTTTTACTATATATATATATATATATTGAGTTGAACACAAAAATGACAAATTAATTACATATAGCTCGGTGAGAAGAAGTATATACTCCCTCCATCCGACATAATTTGTCCCTTTTTCTATTTTCGTTCGTCCCACATAACTTGTCCTTTCTATTTTCGAAAATATAGGAGGGAAGTTATAGATATCTTTTCATACTTTGTATTTGGAGTACTTCATTTAATTTTCTCTGCAGTACTAGGCTTTGGCGGTATTTATCATGCATTTTAAATTTTAAATTTTATAATTTTTTTAATTTTAATTAAACTATTTACTTATTTTAATCTTAATCTATAATTATTTTTACTAAATAATAATTATTTTTACTAATACATTTTTTAATTACTTACTAATTATATTTTACTAAAATTCTTAAATTCTCGTATCTACAATAATACACTTATATTATATGGGACGGAGAGAGTATATCAGATGAATACTTTTGTAGTGTCTACTTCGTACTATCTGCATTTATTTTATATTTATCCGTTTTATTACATATTAGTACTAATTTACATGTGCAAAAATATATTGACTAAGATGTCCTTTTAAAATTTAATTAATATATTACAAAATAAAATAATAATATATTTGTAAATTTGAATAAAAATATGAATATATATATTTTTTATGTTAATTTTATCATCATATTTAGTAAGTTAATAAATAAATATATTAACAATAAACTATATTTCATTCAATATTTCTTTAGAGAAATATTATGAAACAACGTAAATACTATAAAAATTAAAAACAAAAGTAATAAGAGCTGACAAAATTAATTTTTTTTAATAATAAAAAATTATATATTTAATAATATTTAGAACAAAAATTTATTATTAACAAATACTACCAAAACTTTAAAAAAATACTATATATATATATAAAGGCTAAAATAAAAATATAATTAAATATATAAGCATGTCGCTGGTCGCATTTACTACGGTACAAAATTGGAGGGAAAGAGATATAAATGCCAAGTTCAAATTTCACGTGACATGTGATTTTATTTTTCTACATTTCTAATATACAAAATAATAATAAATCATTTTATTTTCTATAAAATTCATTTAGTTATATATATATATATATATATACACACGTCCCAATCTTAGGAGTTGTCTTGAGGCCCATGATGCCTTAAAGACACTAATATCCATTACATTTTGGTGTTTAATATTATTATATACACATTCTAAATAATAAAAAGGTAAGTATAATAATTTAGATTAAAATAAATATTTCTTTAACTAACTATAAAAAAAAATTATATAATGAAGAATATAAAATTTAAATAGATACATGTGAAGATGAAGGACCATGGAGCAATTGACACCCCCCCCTCCCCAACCCCCGTATATATATATATCACAAGCATCTCATATGTCATTCATTATAACAAATAGATATGAATCTCAAATTAAATACCTTTGTAGTCGAAATATGTTAGAAATCAATCCCCAATAATACAAAATTATTGCAAGTTAATTGCAACAAATATAAACCGACAACACAATATATATTAACATAAAACAAATACAACACAGTAGTTCCCACTATCACAGTAGTTCCCACTATCACATACTTCCTCCGTCTCGTATCTATATATTCATTTACTTTTTGCACTATTATATTGGAATGTAGTAGAAGTAAAAAGACTAAATGTAATATATTGTAAATTGAGAAGATATTTGTAATGTTAAATAGATAGTACAGTTACTAAAAAAAAATTGATACTTTATTATACAAAAATAGAAAAATTGATAGATTGTTAAGGGACGGAGGGAATATTTATTATAATTGATCTAAAACACACAAGATATGTTTAAGAATACATACTAACAATCTATTCAACACATATTATATTAATTCAAATAATATCCTATCTAACTATATTTTATGTGCTGATTAAGACTAATCATCCCCGTAACCAAAAAGAGTCGAGAAACTACAAAAACACGTTCAATCTCACCAAATGAAACCAAAGCCTAGTAATGTAATAAGCCATTTTACAATCTTACCAAAAGATCACAAGGCACAACAAGATCCATGTGAAACAACTACATAACCGATCATAATCGCAAATAAAAACATGTCAAAAATAAGTTCCCGCAATCATTAGGACAAGTTTGTACAACATGATGTTTAAAACCAACATCCCTAACTACCAACAACACGATATTTCCATGAAATCTCACACTAGAATGACAAGGACCAATTCAAAGTGTAAGCATCAAATGGCCCGGCGCGTAAAACATAATCTAAATTCTAAACAACGCCAAATGACATGATCATCACGAGTAGCTCAAAAATCACAATCAAGTTCAAGTTGCCGGCCAAAATATGTTCTCATACTCCCTTACTAATTTACATTGTAGTAAACTGACGTCGGCACCTCCTAGATAAGAGCGTGAGTTAAAATAAAGTACGACCAAAACAAACCAGCAATTTGTGAACTCAACAATTTTTTAGACATTTGGCATTAAGTTTGACAATCCAACACTCCCACAGCAGTCATTAGACAAACAAACCAGAGAAGAATAATCCAGAATCCAAGATTCAAACAGAACAGAGCTTTCGGGGCAAAACCCATTGTGCAACTTTAAACGTAATTATGTAAACCATAAAACCCGACAGAGCCGACAAGGCCTTTATATCTTACATTAGAAATAGGTTCCTTCCGGAGGCTGGACCAGCTTCCGGTTGTGCGGAGCAGCCATTTCTTTCTTCAGCTGCGTTAGTATGGTTTCCAGCGTATACTCTTGCTGCCAATTTCCCAGAATTCCAAACTTCTTCTGTTCCACCTGGATTTTTAAGATTCATCGAACAATCAGTTCAACGGCAAATGGCAAGTACATTTTGTAGAGAGAGAGAGAGATGATCGTATCCATACCAATCCAGTTTCATGGTTTACACAGGTCATGTTAATCCGGGAATGGAATCGAACAGTGGGAGGCTTCTCCGGGTAATTATTATCACAAAACAGCTTCAACTGATATATGCGACCTTCATGTACAGACTGAAAGGAAGAAACAGAGTATGCGGAGTTACAAACACTGACAAATGTATTGAATGTTTAGTATAAATTTTATGGCATAATTCACTTTCGAATTAGTGAAATATATGCACAAAGTCCATATTTGTCAGAAATTTGAGCACAAATAAAAGGACTTATATGAACCATTTTAATTAATAAAATACGATATTTTATACATTGAATTTTAAAAACAAGTAATGCATATGTAATTTACCCTACAAACACAATAAAGCATACGAAATGGGATGTAAGATCACATAAACAGATTGATAGTTTTTCTTCCATTATATTATGGATTTGGCTATGAACATAACAAATCATTGTTGCCCAAACGTTACTCTTTCCGTCCCGCATAAAATGTCTACTTTTTCTATTTCCGTCCGTCCCACATAATTTGTCCTTTCCGTTTTTGAAAATATGATTATACACTTTAATCACATTATAAATTTTATAATTTATAATTTTCTTAATTTTAATTAAACTATTTAGTTATTTTAATTTTTTTTAATGATACACTTTTTGATTACTTACTAACTATACTTTACTTAAATTTCCGTGTCTACAGTAACAAGGACACTTTACTTGGGACACGGAGGGAGTAGAAACATAGTGACATTGGAGATACAGAGTATTCTTGTGCCGATTATTACTTCTTCATATCAAAATGGGGCAAAAAAGAAGCTTACGTTGTGAGGGCCTATAATGGTACCAGTCCAAGATCGCATCAGTATATCATCTCCATCCTCCATTCCATAGCTCACAGTACCATCCCCGATTCCCTTCTCTCCACGCTCAAGTTCCTCCAGCAATCTGAAATTCCGAGGAACTGTAACACAAGGTAACAGGATTTTACAACACTTAAGCTGATTTTCCAAATCACTTTCCACTGAAATCTATGAAATTACAGGAAAATCGACCCAGACATCACTCAAACAAACCAATCAGAACATATGTACATAAGTATATACAACTCAGTGTCCTGTATGCATTTATTCAGCATATTGCATAATTACAATATGAAATAAATGAATATTCAGAACTCAAATTAAGTTATGCTACAAGAACATATTGATATTATAAAAGCAATATGTTACACATCTATGGAAAACACAATCAATCACATAAAACAACATATGAACAATAATTTAACCAAATTCTAATTATTGAACAACATAATTAAACTACCAAACAACATATAACACATCTATATTCAGCTTACCAAATTGACAGAAATATTATATTCGTGCATTACCAGTACACAGTAACTTGAATATCTGGCATATATAAATTGCATAACTATAGCTATCAAATAAATATACATAACATAAACTAATGGTATAAATTTTTAAATACATTCACGGACTATGTATCCCTATTATCAAAATAATATCTCTTTTTTCAATTCAGTATATTGAGCCCAAGAAAACGATATATTCGAATCAAAGGCTCTATTTACTTGGGAGATTGTTTCAAATTCTTTACCATGTAACCACCTCAATTTCCAGTAAAAGATCAAAAATCACATCCAAATGATTATTCAAGCCAAACCACAGAACGAAACACCAAGTTCAACAAAACCTAAATATTGTATGGTGTGTACATATATATCTTTCAATCTTACAAACAATGGAAACAAAACCACGAGCTAGTAAGTTCATAGCTAACTCAAAAAGATAATTTATCACAATTACCTCAAATTTCTCGATGACCTAAATCATTCGATACAAAAACAAAATCTAATTTCCTGTATTTATAAAATTCAACAAGCAGCTGGAAAAACAGAGACATCCTATGGGTAAACCTAATTAGACTGTCGACAAAATTAAATCCCCAAAAAATAAATTACTCAACAAAAAGGAGCCCTTTTCAATCATCGCACACCAAAATCAGATGAACTACATTCAATCAAGCTTCTTCCGCAAACATCTAACACCAAAATCAATTCAATCTGGCAACAAAAACTCCCAAGGTAGGAAAATGAAAAACAAGCGAGCAATCATGAATGACGCAAAGAGAAAGATAGAAAAGGAGTCGTTCGTTACCGACAACGCCTGATCCTCCAGATCCCAGAGTCATGGTGCGCACACGAGGATCGATTCGATCGAAAGTGGGACGAACTCGTAAAGGGTTTATGAAGAAATGTAATCGAAGCAAAGCCCCTGCGAATAATATACTCGCTCGCGCACGGACAAGGGCAGGTGCAGGTTCACAATCACAGAGGCTTCCATGATCATATTCCATTTTTTGGGCCAAAAGGTGATTTATTATAGGCCCATTTCTATTGGGCTCTAATCCGAATAAGTTTATATATATGAGTTTATTTGTTACTATTTTAATTTAAAATGTTTTGTTTTGTGTGATGTAGGTAAAATTTATGTAATATAAAAAACATATTACTCTTTTTGTCGTAAAAATATATGTCATCAAAATGCATATATATTCGATCAAAAGTATAAAATAGATAAAAGCAAAAAAGCAAAAATATTTTTTAGGATAGAAAAAAAAAGGTGATATTTTTTATTTTAAAAAAAATTAATAAATTTAAATAATAATAAAAATATAGTGAAAATAAATTTGAATAATATATAGAGTATTTTTGGATTTTTATAATAAATTATAAAATAAGAATATTTTATTAATTAGTAAAAATATATAAAATTGTTGAGTAACTGTATAATATATTTATAATTTAAATATTTTTTTGAATTTTTATAATAAATTAAAAACTAAAAATATTCTATTAATTAGTGAAAGTGTATAAATTTTTTGAATAATTGTATAGTATCTTTATAATTTAAATAAAAATTAAAGATATTTTAATATTAATATATAATTAATTTTTGTAAAATAAAAAATACAATTTGAAATAAAATAAAAAAATGGTAAAAAAAAATATAATAAATTATTTAATATTTTAATTTGATTTTTTTTTTATGTAATATAAAAAAAGGCAAATAACAAAAATCTCTGTGGTTTTTCGAAGTTGCTGAAAAATCCCGTGGTTCTAAAACTCCAAAAACCTACATGTGGTTTAACGGAGGTTGTCTATCATGAGCTGAAATGTTATTTTTGGTCTATAGAGTGATATATTTATGTATAAAATTATTAAAATATCCTAATGACTTATTCTTCCTTGTTCTTATTCTTCTTCGTTCTTCTTCTTCCTTATTCTTCATCTTTCTTATTTTTCTATGCTTTCTTATTCTTCAGCATACTTCTAGAATCTTATCTCAATTCATTTTTTTTTTAATTTTAAATTCGCTAAACACAATATAAATTTTAAACAAATCCCAAATTTATCATAAGTAATCGACCGGACATGGAGATGGAGATGAAAATGCGTAAGTTATTATTCACCGTCAATTTCTTCTTCTATTTTTACCAAACAAGAAATCTAAGAATTCAATTTGACATCAACATTTGGAATCAATCTAAGAAGAAAGAAAGAACTTGCTGCTGGTTGTAATCGTGTACGAAAGAATTGGGGAGAAAAATAAAGAAAAAAGAAAATTGAAGAAAATTAAATAGAAAAAAAAATAAAATTGAAGAAAAAAAAAATCTATGTCCAGCCTGTTCTTTCTCCTCTTCTTATTTTCCTTTTCTTCTTTTTTTTTTCTTTTTTTTCTCTTCTTTCCTTCTACCGGTCATCTTCAGAAAGAAGAAGAAAAAAAAAATTGGAGGAAGAAAAAGAAAATAAAGAAGCAGATGGAACTGCTACGGCCTAAAAAAATTTGGAAAAAAAAATGAGAAAAATTGAGGAAAAAAATTGTGTGAAAAAGAATTTGAGAAAGAAAAGAAGATGGAAGAAAAAAATTGGGGAGAAGAGAAGAAGAAAGAACAGAAGATAAATAAATTAAAAATATATATAAATAAGGGTATAAATGTCAAATTTGATAAAATTTAATGTTAGTTAGTCAAATTTAACATTTTGGAAAACAAAAGTAGGTTTTTTGAAAATTTAAAACCGCAGGTGTTTCCAGCGAATTCGTAAAACCACGTGGTTTTTTTTTGTTATTTTGCCTATAAAAAATACTCCTAAATTTTTTATAGGTTAAATTTATTATTATTGACTTTATTCCTTAACCGTCTATTTATTTTTTATTTTTGTCCGAAAGTATTAATTTTTAACATTAGAAATACTCTTTTAATTTACAATATATTATACAAATATAATTACTTGATATAATTTATTATATTCTAATATAATATTAATATTTTTCAAATTCCCTCCGAAACAAATTGATAGATAAAATTGGGACAAAATGAGTATTTTTTTTTTCTTTTTTTATTACTTCTCATTACTAATTTTGTCAAAAATTAATAAAAATCTGACAATCAACTTCTTAACACATTTCCACTGTCGTTTCTATACCCAAAGATCGGGTTACTGTAAAAACTCAAATGAACTCGTCTAGTTCGTGATCGGAGATAAACAGCCCTAATTCCCCAATCTCACAAAATCATCCCGTACCGATGAGAGGTGCGGCGCCTCGGCCGCCACAGGCGGAGGATGAGACGGCTGGAGAGCCTCTAATTCGGCCGGCTGCCGTCGCGGTCGGCATCGGAGGCGGACTTCGGAAGAAAGCTGCGGGAGTTCGGCCGTGGCTGCTGCTGGACTCGTCGGGGCAGACGCAGGTAGTGGAGGCCGGTAAGCACGCGATTATGCGGCGGACGGGGCTACCGGCGCGGGATCTCCGGATTCTCGACCCGCTGCTGTCGTATCCGTCGACCGTGCTCGGGCGTGAGCGCGCGATTGTTATCAATCTGGAGCACATAAAGGCGATCATCACCGCGCAGGAAGTTCTGCTGCTAAATTCTAGAGATCCGTCGGTTATTCCTTTCGTCGACGAGCTTCAGAGGAGGATTCTCCGCCATCATCAAGCCGTCAAGTCGCAGGTCTTGCTCAACCTTCTTTGTTTTCCCCCTTTTGATTTGTTCTGCCGATTTTCGTGCTTGTTTGCTTGCATCTATGGCGAATTTTTATTCAATTTGATCCTCTGTATTTGTTGGAATCGATCTGAAGGTAAAATTTGGGGGAGAAATTGATTGAATTAGGGTTTAGTTCAATTGAGGCATGAATTGAATTAGGGTTTAGTTTGATTGAGAAATGAGACAGTTAGTAATTGGTATTGGAAAATTGCATACCTGTTGAGCATAAATTGAGCTTAGTTTTTCTGTAAATGATGATTGTTAAGGAAGCCGGAGACGGCGAAAATTCGAATTGGACGAATTTGTATGATTTGGATGGGTCACTTTCGACGCCAATTAGCCCAAACTATTCGAAAAACTTCCCGGCCAAAGAAGAGACGGCAAAGGTTGAAGGAAAAGAACAGCATGGCGAGAATCGGGACGGTCCGAAAGTGCTCCCCTTCGAGTTTGTCGCATTGGAGGCGTGCCTCGAAGCAGCTTGCACTTGCTTGGACAGCGAAGTACGATGTTCTTGTTATTGTTGTAATGAAATTGGTTTCGATTTTTGCTCGTATACTTATTGATTTTCTTGATTGTTCTTTGATCTTGCGCAAGGCAAGGACGCTAGAGCAAGAAGCTCACCCGGCACTCGACAAACTGACGACGAAAATCAGTTCTCTCAATCTCGAACGTGTAAGACAGATCAAGAGTCGTCTGGTTGCGATTACCGGTCGCGTCCAAAAGGTTGGTTTTTAATTTTCCAAAATTGTGAATTGTTTTAATATAGGTATTCTGACCCGATTGTTCATAAGGTGCGCGATGAGCTAGAGCATCTGCTCGACGACGATGACGACATGGCGGAAATGTATTTAACGGACAAACTGCAGGAACAGCTCGAGGGCTCCTCTGTTTCTTCTATGAACGAGCAAGACGAGCCGGATGACGACGATGTCAGCACCAACAACGACGACAGGTATGTTAGAAAACTACTTCCTCTGTCTCTGTTGTCTGTTCGGTCACAGATGATTTTTTTTTTTTTTTGGCCCATAGGATATTACCCCTTATTTTTCTAACTTCTTAAGTATAATTCCACTTAAAATTCTTTTATTTTTGCCTATCTCTTAAATAAACAAATACTTTTATTTATACTCCCTCATTCCCATAACAAATATCTATTTTTTCATTCGATAACAAACTATCCATTTTTTTTAATAACTGTATTATATATTTAACATTATAAATATCCTTACAACTTACAATATATTACACAAATATCGTTACGTTTGTGTCACACATACTAGGTTATTTTAATCATTTCTACTTTATTCTTACTATATTTCAATATAATACTAATGAAAAAAAAATGGATACTTACTTCTGGAAGGAGGGAGTATTTAAAACTTCTCATTTTTTTTAAAATTAGTTTTAAGTTATTTATAAATAAATATTTTATTTATTTGTATTATAAAATTTTATTATCTACAATGATATTCATATTAAATATATTTTATTTAGATATATTCTATAAATATTTAAAATACCAACAATATTAATCATATAAAAAATAATAAATTAATATTATAACTTATTATTAATAATAACTTATTAATATACACTAACTAAAATACTATGTTACTAACAAAATAGCTCGCTCATCTTCTGCGGGGACGGAGAGAGTATAATTTTACAGTCAGATTTGTTTGTTGTATATAAACGTAGAGTGACGGTTTCGTTTTCACGACGCATGAAGGGCGCCGGTCGAGATATTAGAAGGCGGCGGAAACGAGGGTTCCGTCACTTCCGACGGCGACGTGCAAGCCCGCCGGGAGCAATTGTTCGGGATCTCAAATGCGCTCAGCAGAGGCAGCCACGGGACGCGCACGAGTACGCATAGTGCCGTCAGCAAACACCTCGACGTGGAGGAGCTCGAGATGCTTCTAGAAGCATATTTCGTGCAGATCGACGGGACGCTGAACAAGCTATCCACCGTACAGATCTCACCTTAACATTTTTCGATCTTAAATTCTGTTCGTTTATTCTTTTCGATTATTACATGATTCGACGTGTTTTTTTGTAATGAAGCTTCGGGAGTACGTCGACGATACCGAAGACTACATCAACATAATGCTGGACGACAAACAGAACCACCTGCTGCAAATGGGCGTGATGCTGACGACGGCGACGCTTATCGTGAGCGCGTTCGTGGTGGTGGCCGGAATCTTCGGCATGAACATTAAAATTGAGCTTTTTAAAGACGAAGTACATGGGATGACGAGGTTCTTGTGGACCGTTGGGGGGAGCTCGGCCGGGTGCGTTTTCCTTTACATTGCCGCCATTGCGTATTGCAAACATAAACGTTTGCTCGAATAATTTAACTGCCGTAGTTGTTGAACGAGGACTCGCTAACTTAACTACTATTGTATTAAGCCCTCTCGTAGATCAAGTAGTGAGATATCCTCTTATTAAAAAACAAGAGAAATGATTAAAAAAAAAAAAAAAAAAAAAGCTCAATGCCGTGTGGTAGATTGATTCATCAGCAGCTGCATTTTGTATCAGCTGTGCATCTGAATGCGTCCGATAAATCAATCGGCATTGAGGTTTTTTCTTTTCCTTTATTTTTAACATTAATTTTTTTTATGCACTATTTGATGTACTCGTTCCGTTTAAGAAAATGAGCACACTTTGGATACGCAAATTAAAAAAATACTCCCTCCTTCCTAAAATACTCCCTCCTTCCTATAGTCTAATTGTGTTGGGCAATATCGATATTATATTGGTAGTTGGTAAAAAGTAAGTAAATGATTTTTTTGTCATTGTGAATATATTAGTGTAAAAAGTAGCGGCAATTATATAATAATAATGAAAAAGTAGGGATAATTTTACGGTGATATGGTTATTTATAAAAATGAGACTATTGTTTTTTACAGATAAAACTGGTAAACAGGACTATTTTATTGGAACGGAGGGAGTATATTTTATTGAAAAAATATATACCATCGTCCACTAAAATTGTCTATTTGGATTTGACATAAAATTTAAGAAAAATAAATATTTTATTGAAAAAACGATAGGTAGTTGAGTGAACGAAGAGAGATAATGTAATAGAGTCAGTGATATTTGTTGTAAATAAATATCAAATGAAGAGTAATAATTGAATGTTGATTTGTTAATTTTGTTGTCCTTATGATCTGGTTGTGTATAAATGTACTTGTAATTATGAAATCATGTGTTCAAACTTCGACGTTTTTAAATTTTGTCTTGTCTTGTCACAACATGATTCACGACAACAACAAATGAATGATGGTGGGACTCGAACTCGAGACTTAAAACTCGAATACCATATTAGATGATATAAATGATCGACTCACCTATTTCACAACTTTAGTGCCACTCGAACCCAACCCTATAAACAAATTGATTTTGAAGTTTCAAAATTTTACAAATAGTGAAAAGTTAATAATTGAATTAATATTTTGTAAGAAAATATATTTGATGCAATTTTGAAAAATTGAAGAGTGTGTTTCTTTTAAAGAATTGGAAAAAATTTTATTTTAAATTTTATATTAAAATAATGTATAATAGCGATATTTTTCGAGAACAGAGAGTTTAAATAGTAAAAATACCAAAATCCAAATTTGATGGTGTTTAAAAAGGGATAAATTTGCAAGTTAAAATTAAGGAAAGTTCGATTAGTGATGGAAAATATAAAATTTCGTTCTCGACGCTGTGCACGGAAACGACAATTCCGATGAAGAACGTGGATCAATCCAACCCCAGAATCTGTTCTCAAATCATTGCTATGTGATGTGAGGAAATTTTGGAAGAATTCCATTCAAAAATTGCTAAGTTCAGCCACGTTGATGTCCCTTCGCACCCCCAAAAGGTCGTTTTACTCTGCAGAGAAATAAGGCAAGGGTGTAATCATCGCATCACTTCCATCTTTGTTGGAATCGGCGCAGAGAGGAAGGAATCGTTGATCGAATGGGCAATTCCGAATCATCTTCCAACGATCCACGCTTTGTTTCTGCTTCTAGGTTTTCCTCAATCTCCTGACGCTTCAAAACAATGGCGGTTTTATAGATGCTGCTAATCGATTGTTTGTTTCGAGTGCAGAGCATTTGCGCACACCGAATTGGAAGATTTGAAATCGCTGCACAAATCGCTCGCCGCACAGTCGAACAGCAACGGGAAATACGTATCGCCTGCTGTTTTCAAGGTATCCTCTCTTCAGAGAAAAAGCTCTTTCTCGGTCATTACGTACGTGCAATTTGTGTTCTATCTCATCAATTCGAGCTTTGTGTACGTAGAGATACATCGGAATTAGCGGTCCGTTGGGAGATAGGGTTTTCGATTTGGTAACGCAGAAGCGCAAGGATGAAAGGCTTACCTACGAAGATCTGGTTATTGCGAAGGTGAGTTTCAGGCGGTTTTCCTCCCGATCACGAATTACAGTTTCGCGATTCCGATTTTCCATTTGAATCTCAGGGAACCTACGAGAAAGGAACTAAACAGGAAATCGAAGAATTCATATACGAATTGTTAGATGTGTCGGGCGACGGCATTGTGAAGAGGTGAAATCAGGAATTCGATGTGTTGTAGATTGACTTCCAGAGTGATTTCTTTTGTGAAACATTCAATTCTTCTTCTGCGCAGGTCTGACCTCGAAACTGTGGTAGCTTCCATGCTTGATAACCTATTTCATCGTCAAAACTCTGATCCTAAGTCAGGATCGGATCGAGAAATCGTTGAGGTTTTCATCAATGCTGCTGCAGATTCTGGTAATGATAGCAGCTTCACTTTTGATGATTTCCAGAAATGGTGCGCCCTTCTTCCAGCAGCCAGGAAATATCTTGGTAGCCTGTTGGAGCCCTCTGATCCAGGTCTCTGTTTAACTCTCTCTCTCTCTCTCTATATATATATATGTATGTATGTATATATAAGTTCGTGTCTGTGGTGATGATCAATGAACTACTGGACTGATATTTTAGCTACATATATAGGTTTGATAATCTCTGTGTGACCTGAGGCTTAAGAATGTTGTTCGATTCCAAGGTTGTCAATGTTCGCTATTTTTGTCAAGTTTTCGATTCGTAGAACAGAACTCGTTCGGGGGAATTGTATAAACTGATTACTTGGGCCGTAGATATGTTTTGGAATTTTGAAGAATTTTGGGAATGGTCAAAAGTTTATGCTTGCTCAATACAAGATTTGAATTGTTGATGTATTAGGTTCTCAAATGCCTCAGCTGAAACTCCCGGACAACATCGATCCGGGCCACATTTTGTTGCGAAAGGAATTCGCTTGGCACATCGGGGGAGCGCTTTCTCCGAGCGAGCTGTCTGAATGGAAACTTCTATATCACAGTGGCATCCATGGCCTAAGTTTCAACACTTTCTTGGGCAATATTCAGTAAGTAATCAATCGACTAACTCGAAAACATTCTCACATTCATAGGCAATAGATATAAATAGACAGAACGTTACATCTGAATCACTTATAGTTTGATTTAAAATGTTTCGTAACTTTAATTGAATTATTCACATATTTCATCCTTACATTATTTGAATAGCAGTTTAATTTAAATGTTTTGTAAATTAAATTGAATTATTCACAATTCATCTTTACCTTATTTGAATAGCAGTTTAATTTAAATGTTTTGTAAATTAAATTGAATTATTCACAATTCATCTTTACCTTATTTGAATAGCAGTTTAATTTAAATGTTTCGTAAATTTAATTGAATTATTCATAACTCATCTTTACATTATTTGAATAGCGTAGAAGATTCTTATATGTGTAAAATCATGTCAAATTAGGGGGTTATGTAAGTACGTTTTGCTAACACGAATGTGAGTTATGCAATAAAACCATACAAAATGTTTTATTTATTTATGTTAGAATAAAAGATATGCCGACAACACATATTTTCAAATAACATAGCTTTGGAAATATGGGCTGTCAATTTATATTTGTAAATGTGTTGTACAAATATATTTCTTGAGCTGAAAATCAATGATTGGTAATATGCAATATGTAGGACTATATTACGTGCTACATTTGTAAGTTTGTATTATCTGAACATAAATTATACGTTATTGTGCTGTTAGTACTGGGGTAAATTATATATTTTATGAAATTTTATAGTTTCAAAAGCTGAAAATTTGTACGAAACACTTGAATTAAACTGCAGAAACGGCGGGTCGACAATTCTGATCATCAAAGACAAAGAAGGTTACATCTACGGAGGCTACGCCTCTCAGCCATGGGAACGGCACGCAGATTTCTATGGCGACATGAGGTCCTTCGTCTTCCAACTCTACCCAAAAGCATCGCTATTCCGCCCCACCGGAGCAAACCACAATCTACAGTGGGTGAGTACTCGAAAAAGATTAACACCTATATAATTTTGTTTTCCGCAAATCAGAAATGCCTAGAATTGATGAACACGAAAAAAAAAAAAAAAATAAAATAAAATAACTCTTTCGTAGTGTGCTGTAAATTTCAGTTCGGATAGCATTCCCAACGGGATCGGGTTTGGAGGGCGGGCGCATCATTTTGGTGTGTTCCTTTCGGCAAATTTCGACCGGGGGCATACATTCTCGTGCACGACTTTTGGCAGCCCGTGCCTGTCGAGCGAGAACCGGATATTGCCCGAGGTGATTGAATGTTGGGGCGTGATGCCGACGGGGGATGAGGGGGGAAGGGGGGAGGGTGTGAAGGGTACAGTTCTGGAGAGGTTCAAGGAAGATCGGCATATGCTTAATATGGTTGGGATAGCTAATGCCAGTAATTGATCAGTGAGTATGTTACTCTATTTTGGCTTTGGATTTGCATTCAAATAGGCGTGGTAATTTAACTCATATATATATATATATATATATTTGTTTTGATGACGTAGGAATTTGCAGTTGCTGTCCGTCCGAAAGTGCGAACTGGGTAAATTTCCGGTCGAATTTAATACATTGCAAACTTGGTCCGACGAGGCAAGTAACACTTAGCTATTATATTTTGTGAAATGTTAAAAGAGTAAATATTGTGTTTTGTTTGTTGGCTTGCTCTTTGTTAATTTTGAACTCTCATTTAATTTTTTAAAACTATATACTCTTCCCCGTCAAATTTATAAATTACAGAGAAAATAAATATAAATATAGTTGACGAAAGAAGTAGTAGTATTTACTATTTCCTGTGATTTGTATATTTATATATAATGTTAATCAAAGATTGATGTACTTTTTGCTAAAGTTATTTGTATGTATGTACTATATTATATAAACCTAATTTATATGATTTCTGACTTTCGGTAATAATTACGTTGTCGAAATAGAAAAATCAGATTTTTTAAATCAACATTCATAATGACTCCCTCTGTCGTGTAAAATTGTGCTCATTTGATCGGACACGAAAATTAATAAAAGTGAGTAATAATAATTACTTTTTTTATAGTAAAAAAATATACAAAAATATAATAAGTTTTTTACTTAAAAATAACCGAGAATAATTTTCGATGATAATAAAAAAAAAAGTTGAGGTTTGAACGACGGAGGAGGTAATATACAAGCAACAATAAATATAGTCTATCATGGTTAACTTTGTATTTTTTCATTGAGGTTTGACTATTTATTTTGTATTTATTTGTTATTTGACTTTCTATTCTGGTTGATTTTTTATAATATAGTCTATTTTTATAGCGTGATGTCTGTTAAGTTTATACACCTTCCGTCCTCTATTTTTTTTTTTTTTTTTTTTTTTTGTTTGATGACTTATTTTTATTTTTAATAAATATAATAATTTTAAATATATTTAATAAATATAAATTAATTTAACTAAATTCTAAATTTATTACATAAAATTCATTCATTTTTTTTTTATTTTTATCTTTTTAAAATTATTTTGCATTAATTATAGATAAATAAATATATAGTTTTATTTATTTGAATTATATAAAATTATATTCTTTTATAAAACGATATTCATTATATAGTATATTTTATCAAGATTTAGAGTTAAATTTAAATATTTATTTTAATTTTTTTAATTATATATATTATTTTTTTCAATATCCAAATATTTGCTCAAATGTTCGATCATAAATTTTAATAAAAATAAATAATAATTGTTATATTTTTTGTCTTTTATAGTAAAAAAATACAAAAAAAAAAAACAAAAATATTTTCTTATGATGACAAAAAAAAAAAAAAAAGATTTGGGTGATGGAGAGAATAATTATTATTTTTAAAATACCAACTATTTTTTTATAAAAAAAATAATATTATAACTACTATAATTAATTTATTAAATCATAATAATTACTTTAAATACAATCTCTATATAAAATATTCATTGGCGTCATAATTTAGTATTATTGTTTGATAATAATTATATATACACATTATTTTTTTTATTCCACTTAAAATGTTAATTATATTATTTTTTCATTCCACTTAAATTTGTTCAAAACAACAGAAAAATAATAATAATAATAATAATAATAATAATCTTGGATTCAATAGTATAAAGAGTAAAATATGTGATGGTAGTTTATTAGAGTTTTGAAATTTTTTATTTAAATTTTAATTTACATGATATTTTATTAAAAAATAATAATATCTTTTTATTAGAAATGGAGTGAAAAGTTAAAATAATAATAATAATAATAGTAACCAAACCACCTATCGAAACCATTAGATAAAATTTAAGGCTAATTAAATTAATTATTACCATACACAATATTAATCACTAACAACTCGTGAAATTAATTATAATTATATTATTCAACTGCAATTATGGTCACAATTATCAACTAGCTACCTATTTTATCATAATTACCTAATTTAATCTAAAATATTATCCACACATTACTATTTAAATCATTGGCAATCATAAAATTATATACTCTTTCTTTATGTCCCAAACAATAATTTTATTTTGTTATTTTTATTATTTTAAAACAATAGTCTAATTTTTCATCTTTTTACAAAATTATCTACCATTTTTACAATAATTACACAAGAGAGACATTTTAATATTTTAGAAACACTTTTACACCTATATCAATATAATACTAATATTTTTTAATTCTCATACCCATCTCAAATGTCCTTTATATTTTGGAACGAGAAAATATATACTATTTAATATCTTCTCCTCTGACTTATAAAATCTACACTTCTATTTACTTTCCTCTCGTCTCCAATTGTCTGCGTATTGATTTTTGACTATTAATTATTATATCAAAATACAATACAAATTAAAAAAAAAATTAAAAAATACTACAATTACAATTAGTGTCTTATAATATTAATAAAAAGACATTTCTAAAAAAAAATTATATAAATATAAAGAATTTTTTTTTAATGTTAAATACAATAATAAATGTGACAGAGAGAGTATCTTATAGAACTATTTTATAATTTAAATGCAAATAAACATATAATTTTTTTATTTTGGAAAAATTAACATCAAATTTTATTTTCCTATTAAAGAAAAATAATAAAAACATTAATATCAATATGCCTGAAAATCAGTCTTCCTAAAAATTATTTTCAGGACAGAATCACAGTCATATATATCAATATCAATATCAATATTAATTAATTAATTAATGACTACACAATCAATCATATCTATCATCTAAATTAAACCTCGTATACTATTACTCTTACCCAACAAACACCACCCTTTTCTCATCATACTTTGATCCTACATCCCCAACCCCAACCCCACCCCCACAAAAATTGCCTCCATGCAACAAAACCTCCAATTCCTATCCCACCATCCACCACCCCCACCAATCAACCAATTCCTCTGCATCGTCGCCCTCACACTCACCATCACCATTGTTTGCTACACCATCAATCAGACCCCATTCCACCTCTACCCACCCTCTGTTCTCACTTTCAATACTTTCCTATCCAAAAACAAATGCGATTATAGCTATGGTAATTGGGTTTGGGATGAGAGATTACCTGGACTTAGATACACAGAGACCTGCCCTTTCTTGGATCCCGGATTCCGGTGCCGACACAATGGACGAACTGATTTCGATTTCCACAAATGGAGATGGCAGCCACACTCCTGTAATCTTCCCAGGTATCATCAAAATCAATCTATATATATATATATATATATAATCTTGTGATCAATGAGGTGATACAGGGTGCAACCTTATTTACCTTTTGCTTTTATATTCGAATATTAATTATTATATTAAAACTTAATTCAAGGAAAAATGACAATATAAATGTATGTGTTCAAAACATAGAATTAAAAAAATTGAAGGTTAATAATGATATTACATGGAATCATGAAAGCATTCAATTTGACAGATTTAGAGAACACTGCAAAACATAAAAAACAATGTAATTAAATTGATGCTAAACTTGTAAAAACAAAAATACTCAGATCTACGTGTGAGTGAAGCCAAACAATCAAAAGTTTTCGATATATTGTTATAACAACTAACAAAGCATCAGGCAGTTCTAGTTGATTATTCGAGCAAAAACAAATCTATTATTTTGCAAAATTATATCCCAATAATCAAACCTTTGAGTTACTGGTTTTTTATCTATTTAAGGGCTTAGCTACCAAAGCAGCAGATCAATACACTGAGAAGAAAATTAAGAGTTAGCCATCACATATTCGAAAACATAGAAGCCTGAGGTTTGCTAAAATCGTTTATCGAAGATCATCTTGCACAACAAAATTGAAGAAATCAGTACACGAATCTTTATGAACATGTCACTATAGTGGGTTGTGTTAGTGTTAATTAGTCGTCAGTCTAGCCTTTGTCTAAATCCAATTGCTTCGAGAGAGACAGACACAGTTGTAATTGGTTAGAAACAAATGTAATTCTTGTACGTGATTAACAATTTATAGTGGCATCCGATTCCTATACTAGCTCAACTAATGTTCAATCCCTAAAATTCTAGCATATCCAAGATTTTACCATGATGAATCAAAAACATCTTACGTTGTTATAAATGTATGTCCTCATAAATTCCTACAGATTTGATGCAAAAGACTTTCTCCGGCGTAGTCGAGACAGGAGAATAGTTTTTGCAGGGGACTCCATAGCCAGAAACCAGTGGGAGTCCCTTATCTGCATGCTGGCGCAAGGGGTTGTTAATCAATCGACTATCTATGAAGAGAATGGTAACCCTATAACAAAGCACAAGGGTTTCCTCTCCATCAAGTTTCGACACTACAATGTATCAGTACAGTATTACAGGGTGCCGTACCTGGTGGCTGTCGACCGGCCCCCTCCCAATGCCCCCAAGGAGGTCAAGGGGGTCATTAGAGTCGATAAGCTCCATTGGTTTTCGACCAAATGGGTTGGAGCCGATGTTCTTGTCTTTAGCGCTGGACATTGGTGGAATCAAGACAAGACTATCAAATCGTATGTATCTTACAAAGTTATCGTATATATATATATGTATATATCTGTAGTAACCATAATGCTTTTGTCTATCAGGGGACACTTTTTTCAGGAAAGGGAGCATGTAAACATGACTATGGATGTTCGGGACGCTTTTAAAAAATCTCTAAAGACATTGAAAGCTTGGGTAGCACAAAATTTACAGCCTGGAAAAGCTTATGTATTCCTTCGTAGCTACTCACCAGTGCATTTCAGGCAAGTCATTACATATAGATCCTGTTGTTTTATAGTATCTAATTAGCTACAACATTGTTAACTACGAAATATTTTCGTAGTTAAAATATGTTATTTAGCAACCAAAGTTAATTTTATCACTAAAAATAAATTATGTACTACAAAATTAATTTTTCGCCAATTTTTTTTTGCTACAAAATCATAATTAAAATCATTTGGCTAAAAAAACTCGTTTGTTACGAATTATAATTTTATAGCAAAAAAGAACTTTAGCTACGAAATCATATATATTTTCGTAGCTATATCTTTTTTCTCATCTTTCACTGCAAAAAAACTTATTTTTTTGTTACGAAAGTTATATTTGTCGCCAAATACCTATACTGACGCGGTATAGGTGACAAAATGAGTTTCGTCCCAAAAATATTTTTGCTATGAATTATTACCTTTTGCTGCAAATTTTTTTTGTAACTAAATTTCAACTTTTTTGTTGTACGTATTGTTCAAAGTACTTATCTATAACTAAATGGAGGGATTAAACATGGCTATCTTGAACTACAGGAATGGAACATGGGACAAAGGTGGGTATTGCAATGAAAGTAAAGCACCAGAAATGGACAACTCAAAGCTGGAGCAAGAGCCACCGAATAATATGTTCATGTACGATGCAGTAACCGAAATGAAGAGTGCATTCAGCACAGTGAAATTTCTAAACATTACGTACCTGACTGAGTTTAGAAGAGACGGGCATCCTTCAATGCACCGTGAACCGGGTACTCCAGCCCATGCCCCACAGGACTGCAGCCATTGGTGTCTTCCGGGAGTGCCAGACACCTGGAATGAATTTCTATACGCTGAGTTGCTGAAAATGGGATATAGAATGAGGACATGGTAAAGATGTCACTTATCTGCATAGCACTGGAGGGTTGGGAGTTTTCAACTTGCTTCTGTATGAGGCTTTGCTGGCTTCCCTTTGCTGCATTTCTAGTGCTTCATGAGATTCAATACCTGGGGTCGACTGTTATGCATGCCCCGTTTTAAGAACTAAGACGATAAAGAAGAACAATCGACAACAGTAACTTGCAAGATGTAGATATTAAGCATCTCGAGTAAAATTGAATTTTTTGGTAAAGAAAACAGAGCCTGCTCAATGTTTATGCAAAACCAAATGTGAGTGTATGGTGGATTTTAGCCTTGAGTGTTCTTTTGAATTGAGCAAACTGATTTTGCTCTTCTTACAAATATCTGAAATTCAGAAATATTTTTCATTTCAAAATTTATGTGTTCGACTACTTCGTATCTATGATAACATGTATAATCTGCACTTGATATAGAATTAAGGATAAATTTTTTTTTTTAAGTCCGGTATCTAGGACTTTAAATGAACATATCTGAAAATAGTCTCGTAATTAGAAAAATTTCACTAGAATAGTCCTTCGGTGTCGGATTTGCTACGTTGGTCCGCGGTTGCTGATGCTGCTGACATGTATCGCCACGTCAGTGATATGTCGAAGGACCATTTTAGTGAAAGATTTTATATGAAGAGTTTATTTTCAGACAATGTTTATTTAAAGTCCCGGTCAAAGATATACGAGACAATATACCAAGATATTTTATAAAATAAAAAACTTTCATGTATAGCTGATGTGGCATCTAAGTAGTACTGATATGTCAATTGTGTTAGCGTCACGTCAGCAACAGCGGATCAGCATGGCGAATCCAGTATCGGAAGATCACTTTAACGAAAAAAAAATTTACTTGCTGAAATATCTTTTGATAAAGTTCATTTAAAAAATAAAGTTCGGGACTAAAAAAAACGGTTCACCCTATCATCAAATATTCAGTAGTACTTCCACTTGTCCTGCAAATCCTCATTTAGAACTGAATCAATTATACGCAGCAAGTCGAGTTCAAACTACAAGATACTTGAAAACTATTTAAGTAAATATAGTTTGATTGGCACGAAAAGTGGATAAGTTTTTATCATCTTTGTAACATACTTCTATGTTCTATAATAATCAAAATCTATTCTAGTTAGGATCAATAAAGCCTCAAAGCTTCATTAACAAGCCTACTCTCAAAACTTCCATTATGGTGCCGGCAGAGTAACATCAAGTGCCAAAAGTTCAATGGATTGTAACTACGAATCAAATTCATCACCACCAATTTGATTAGACTGAATACCTAAAAGAAGATATTATAATAAAAATGATCCAGTAGGGTCTTCATCAATCCTTATCAAGCTAAATTGTGATTATGATTTTATGTAAATGCTTTTACTTCTTCCATACTACTTCAACTTAAATAACTTTCCCATGCTTTCAAAGTTTAAAAGATTCTCTAACTAAGGGCTAATGATTTGGGTATACAGTCTACCCCTCTTTGTTTCCTAAGCTTATCTGATGATCAACGCTGACAATGACTCTTTGCATTTTCTAATTTCAAGATTGGACCAAGAACAGCGACCCTTCTCCTAAACCTAAACCTAAACAATTGATTTTGTCATTACATTGAAATCAATCACAAGTCCAGCACGCTTACATCGCATTTATTAAATTAATCTGAGCCTAAACAAAAATCAATTCAAACGTATCAGACACGAAGTGTTTTAATTCATTTCCAGATTATGCATATCGAAAATTAATCTGGATGTTGACTCCTATAATAATTCACAACTTTCGGCACATATATAGATATATATATATATATCAATCGGAAAGCTGAAGGTAAAAGTATTAAGAGTGTCTAACCTCAGAGAAAATGTGTCCACCGGAAATGGATTCTTCACCGGCGGCGGGATTCGCCGCCTTGCATCCGGACATCCTTGAGTCTCACATCTTTACTCATTTGGACGGGCCGGCGCTCGCCGCCGCCGCCTGCTGCTCCACCGCTCTCCGCCGCAGTGCCTCCCTGCAGCACCTCTGGTCCAGCCTCTGCAACTCAACTTGGCCGTCGACTGCCTCTCCACACCTCAGCAAAGTCATCGCAAAGTTCCCGAACGGCGGTCCCCGGGGGTTCTTCTCACAAGCGTATCCTCTCTTACCGGAGCTTTGCTCCGGCGACTCATCCTCGGCCGGTCTGTCGCCGGAATTTCTCTCAGCCGTCGATATCCACCACCAGGGGAAACTAATATTCACCACATTGCAGGTAACCAAAACTGATACCGACTGGTTCCGCTCCTCGCCCTTCCGAATCGACCTTCTGGAGCACAAGGACACCGTCGCCGTCCCAATCAAGCATCCTGAGAGACAAATTAAAGCTCTAGAAGGATTAACACTAACCTGGATATTAATCGACACACTCCGATACCGAGCAGCAAATCTGTCGTCCATCCATCCTGTAACGGTGCAGTACCACTGGTTCACCGGAGAAATCCAGGCGCGATTCGCCTCCATCGTCACCGCCGGGCAAGGTCACGTGCAGTGCGGGATAGTGGTCACGTGCGCCAGCTCCTCCGGCGACCAAATGCAGGTGAAGGAAGTGAGATTGGAAATAGAGGACATCGACGGAAAACACCTGACCGGAAATGAGAGTCTGGCCGTCCTCGAGCAAGCGCTGACGGCGGAGAAGGGGAAAGTGAAAACTCCGGCGGAGGAAGCGCGGCGGAGGTACAGAGAATTCGAGGAAATGAGGAGAGGGAGAAGAGAGAAGATGCAGAGAAGAGAAGGAGCTCTAGACACGATCTGCGCAGTGTTTGGAGTGTTGATATTCGCTGCTTTTCTCGTGTTGATTTGTATGTGAATCAAAAAGAGAGGAGAAACAAATTGTATTCGCCATTGAATTGCAAAGTTTCGGTACAGATCTGAACCAAATCCGACGATCTTAACAGAAGTTTTCTACGGACATAAGAATGATGATGAAAAACACAGAAGCAGAATCGACAACTTGAACTGTAAAACAAATGAAGACCAGAATCACCCAAACACGAACCAATATATATATAATAAAAAAAAAAAAAACTGCTAATGTTTCTTCAAAGCGAAGGCGGAAATGAGGACGAGGCAAATGAGGAGCGCCACCGCGATGAAGGATCCGATCACAGCGCCGCTGACAGTCTGGCAGAAATCGGTGTACTGTTGGCATATGGCCAGCCAATTCGTGGCGGAGTTACCATTGTGTGCGAGGTATACTATCGCCGTCGCCGCCGCTGCGGCGGAGGTAGCTCCCGTCAGTATCAGCTGCAGCAGTTTTAAACAAAATTAGCAAAAAATGAAAACACCACCAGTCTCGCAACAAACGAAATTGCAATGTAGAAGTAAATTACAATGTCGCCGAAAACGAGGAAGAGCCTCGGTCCAGCAGCAGCAGGTTTCGCAATGCAGAAGATGGAGAACGGTACAGAGAGCGCAAGGTAGCCAGTAACAATAGCGAAGGCTATAACAAAGAATCTGTACAGTACAAAAACCAGTTAGTTCAAAACCATGGCAGAATGTTCCAGAAGTTTCCAGGCGGGAGAGGGAGAGGGAGAGGCACTCACGAAAAGGCCGACATGTCGTCGTAGCTCGCTTCAAACTGGAAGAACGGCGTGAAAAATGGGAGAGTTTCGTCGGCAGTTCCCATGGCGATCGTCGCCCCCAAAGCAGCAGCTGCAGCGCAGATACGGACGATAAGGTCGAACACAGCAACTCCTCGTTTGCGTCCGGTGGCGGCGGCAGCAGCGCGGGAATACGCTCCGCCGAGAAGGGGCGCTTTCCCCTTCTGCTCTCGCCTCGACTCCGCAACTTCAATGGTGGTCGCTTCGCCTTTCTCCATGTTCCTGCACTTCAAATGCAAGAGGAGGAAACAAGAATTTGCTTGAGATTGGGAAAGAGCTGGAATTGAGATTGGGAATGTGTTCTTGAAAAGGGGCAGCAAGGTAAGTATATATATATATAGTGATGTATGAAGTCTGTAAGAAGAGTTTGAACAAATATTAAATTGGGACAAAGATAATGGAGCAAGAGGGGTTGTTAGAACAGAATTAGAACTGGACATTTTGTTGGGGTAGATAGATGGGTTGACATTATAATACAAACTAAAATATTGAAGAAATTAATGAACAATGAGATTAAAATACAGGGAAATGGTCATGTTTGTGGAGCTGGTTTTTTTTCCTAAGATGGAAATATGTTTTGTAGTCAAACAGAAGAGTATTGAAACTATTTAAACTTTAAAAAGAATTGCATGGGAGAAACAAAGGGGATTAAATTAGTCAGCATTATTAGTCAACTAACAGCAAGAATCTTTCCCTAATCCACTTCAGGGTATGTAATGACACGGGACGGGATCCTCAGCCCCCTCTTCCCCGCCCCATCACACAAAGTGATATATATGCACTCTGTATATCTATATTTATGTATCACATATATATATATGCATACTATGTATATATACATGATGTGTATTAGAGGGGGCCGGAGGGGCTGAGCAGTCGGGGGGCGAGGTGATCCCGTGCCGTAATGATACTATTGTAACGGATTAGGATTTAATGATCGAAAAACAAACAAACATAAATAAAACACAGATTTACGTGGTTCATCAACAACATGTTGACTACGTCCACGGGTAGAAACGAAAAATAGATTTATTAAAGGCGGCAAGGTTACAAATTACATATCAAGACCCCCGTAAAAACTAAGTAAAGCGGCAAACTAGATTCAATCTATATTAATAAATACTGTAATGTAATCATAGGAACTCTCTAAAGTCTAATGAAGGGATATAATTGTAAGAGGAATATATAGAAAGGTACGGTGAAGAAGGATTTTGGTCATTATTTTCGAATATAAGATATAAAGGTAATTGGGTTAGTTGGATATCTGTTGCGAAAATTTACCGTTATTTGTGATGGTGTTGGGAAAATAATCTCCAGCCACGCTGGGCGAGTGCTTTGATCACTTTGTCTGCAGCCATCTTGGCGTCGCACAATGGAGAATAGTGCCATATTTCCGAAATCTGGTCAAGAAAATTACAAATTACAATAGCTTACACAACAACAAAAAATACAGATACATTCTTATAATTGACATATGAGGTTTTGGATAGTTCAATAAATATGAACTGTAAGAAGGTTTTGATATGTTAACTGCTACTTTTACTTCACTGGGTATAACTTGCCTTTTCTTCGCCAGTGAATGGTCGGATAGCTCCTCTGTTGTACAAGGATCTTAGAAAATATGCAAACTTCGAAGTGCAACGCTCAGCCCCAATTACGTAAACAGGCTTCCTGAAGTTCGGAGAATTAGACAAAGAAGGGAAATATGTTCATTTTGTGGGAATAAAATGTTGCAAGATACCCTGTGCTGCAAGCCTCACTCAGCATACTCACTGAATCAGCAGTGACAACAAAAGCATTTGCCCAAGCTAAATGTCCCAGGTGTGGATTTGGATCTGAACCCATAAAGATTCAACTCGATGTTACTCATTGATCAGGAAATTAGAAAGCCAAAAAAATTTGGGAATAAGTAGTGTTGGGATAAGCCAGGCAGGAAAATAATCGGTATTCATTTGTCTAAGCGTCATTCTTATTAGCATGTCCTATTTAGTAATGCATCGCGGCTTGCTTTGTCATACATTTTTTTAAACATAGTTCCACAGCTATTGAGTAAAACATATTTACAAAAGAACAACATAAGGAAGTAAACAAATTCCTTGAATGGTAAAATCCACTATTCATCTCATTTTTTTCCCCCAAAAAACATTAAATTAAACACCTATTTTTTATTTTTTATATTATACTAAAAATCAATTTTACATTCAAAACATCACATCAACACCTATTTATATCACATCATACAACTACTCAAATTCACAATTTTTACTATTCAAATCCCAACTCAAAATCCAAACCCCAAAACAAACACACCCGTAAACATGAAATTCAACGAATGATTGAATAGTACCTTCACCATTCCAAATGTAGACTTTGGGATGACAAGAGAGTTCCTTTAGAATAATGTCTGCTACCTGTACAATGAAGAATGGATGAACATTGATTTACCTTGGTTGAAAAAACATAAACATTTATGTGTGTGTGTGTGTGAAAAGAAATCACGCGCACACTCTTGGGGGTTCGACGAGAAAATGATATTCTGAGTGTCCCACATGTCGGAAGAACAGCCTTTAATGAGGCTGTCAGCTGCATGGCAAGATCTTCACCATATCTGCAACGCCCTTCGGAGGGCAGGTATTAAAGCAAGTTAACAACAATGCAGCATTAAGGCTTAATTATTAACATGCCGACAAATTTCATCATGCATATATTGTATACTTGCTCATTATAACATCCAAGAATCGAATAAACAGTAAGGAAATTATTTCTGGGTGCAGACTGTTTTGAATGAAACAAAACAATGTAAAAAACGTAGACAGAGATGGGAGTATAGTGAAATGCTGTAATAATAAAATGAATAACCTACTTGTAGGTCCTCCTATGGAGACAACAAGTAAAGGTTTAGGCAACAGGGCCAGCACATCATGCCAAGCAGAAGCTGCATTTTTCAAAGCAACAGAATCGGCCATGTGAAGCGCACCCACGGTAAGAACCTAAGAAGAAAAATGTCAAACCTGACAATTGAATATGCAGATAACAGATAATAAATGCACTTATCAGTCACATAAGAGCATACCACGTGTTTATCAGGAGGGTTTCGAGGTGCTACCCATCTTAGAAGAAATGGAATTTGCTCCTGTGCCTCTGGTGTCAAGGGGTAATAATCATGCTGAGGTGTTATCACCATATCAAACCTGCGTAGACGAGACCGTGGATGTTGTATCTGGAAAAAAGATATAAAGTTATAGATGCCAGAAGGGTGAATGTGTATGCCTTTTAAACGGTATTTATCCTAGTTCTATTCAAATGTACAAACCCATAAGTATATATCTTAAATCTCACTTTTTAAAATGTTGAACTCCCCTATTGTAGACAAGAACCATAACATATTGCAGTATCTCTTTCACACCTTTCGCTTCTTAAACTAACAAACCCGAACAAGCATTGTGATTGCTGTGCAATAGGTTTAGCTAAAAGAGAAAACTGAAACTAGAACGATCTCAGTGTTGGATGCAAAATGAAGAGAGATGGAAACAATAGAAGTTATGGATATATAGGAATTGACCATACTGTTTACAAGCAAATTTTAACAATGTTAGTGTTGCAATTATTTTTCTGTCTATTTTTTCTCATACTGCATTCGGCTAAATATCATTGCACATTGTGTTTTAAGAACTTGTATTTGCTCTTATTCTTTAGATAAAACCAAATTTGCAACTATTACAATTGGTCAATCAATAGTACACATTGTTGCAGTTCCCTAGCGCATAGAATGCAAGAAGTACAAATCTTTGGCACCATGTCATACCTGAACAAGGAAAACATTTTCTGGAACTAACGATTTTATAGAAGTTGCAACAGAAATGGTATCACGACCAGAAGCAACCAGCAATATGGGGCCATCCCTATGTTTAAAAAGAAAAACAGAGCATGGAACAGCCAGAAAATTTATTCCCTCAATTTAGATAAGTTGAATTATATATATATATATATATATAACAATTACTGTGAAATGTGAATCACTATACTGCAGCAGATGAAGGACTATGCTCGGTATCATTTTCGAGCATAATGACAATGAATCAAGCCACAAAATACAAGAGATTGTATGAGTTGAGGCTTAATTAAAGTAAAAAAGTTAAAATGCTACAAGGACAATATCTTAATATAATATAATAACAGAGACACTACACATTAGCTAAAAATGATCAAGAATACTCCAAATCAAATGCTCCACCAAAAACCAAAAACAAAATTCAAGCCAAGTGGGAAGGAAACACGCACCTTTTGAATGTCTCCTGTGCCATTTTTGCAATACAGCTTGCATTTGCTTCAAGAACATCTATGAAAGCAACATTTCCAGAACATCAAATGCTCCACCAAAACAAAATCAATATGCCATTGTAGTATTGAAAAGTCGAAAATAAGTTTAGACCACCTTTCCCATCTGCAGGAAGAGGCGCCAGTTTTGTCCGTCGGAAGAGTTGTCCGGAAGTGCACTTAACAGCACGATCTAATCCTTTATGGAAAGCGACCGGCAACCAGTGAAGACTCTCATTAATTCCCCCTCTGGGACGTCTAACACGCTGCAAGCATAGCCAGAATCAGCAGAGAAATATAGCAGCAAACTGCAAGCAAAACAGTAGCAGATCATACAATCACCAAATTATGACGATGAAGAACACACTCCCACGCGTATGTCAGAAAGGAAAAATCGATCAAGTTTCACATCAATCAACTCGAAATAGAACATATATATATATCATGTACGATTCAAAATGAGAAGGAGTTCCTTACGTATAAGGAGTAGCTATCGGAAAGACCAAGTGCTCGAACCAAGCCAATACACTGATTCTCTGCACCGGCGCAACCATTTCCGATCACAATTGCTCTTCTCACAGCTAACATCGGATCCAAGCATTAAATCCGCAGGTTAAACGATTATTCCCACCGAAATGACATTATCATTCAATTCAGGATTTCCTTCTCAAATCGAACTGCAACTGGTTCTCTTCACTTCACTTCACTTTCTTCGCCCCCAACCAACCCCACTATATACCCTTACCTAAATTTATGGGCTAACAGTCTAAGATGAATCTCGGCCCAGACCTAAAATGAGCCGTAGGATGGCCCATATATATTGTAATTTTTAAAAAATTTATATAACACCATTAAAAAATTAATGAGTACCGCATTGTCTCTACTCTCGCAGTCAGTGTTCACTGATTCAGCAGATTTTGGTAACAAACTTGTTTTCAAATTTTGTTATACAGTAAGGTCCTTTTGAGATCTTCTTCATCGGCTGGCTATGTCTAATCAATGGAAGCATGCTTCGGATGATTATCTCAGTTTCTCAGTAATCGGAGTGTTTGATTAATACGACCTGTGGATCTCTGTGGTTGAGGCTGGAGAATTTAACCAATTTTTTACAAATTCGATTTCGGTGTTGCATTTATTCTCTGTCAATGAATCGAAGTATAGGAATGCGTGAGTGAAGCACAATAGTAATATTAAAATCTTCCCACAGTGATCTGTACTTCTGAAGACCACCTGGTGCTCCGCGGTGCTGCTTCTGCAAGACAAAGTGCTCTGCACGATGTGCAGATTAATAAATGGTTTGTGCAGTTCAACAGGTAAATTTAAATATTACTATTATTCTCTATTTTGTTAAGAGTTCGATTAAACAGAAATTTGATTGCAGTTGATGTTCTTAGTTCCATGAACAATCGTAGATAGATGATTTTGGATTTAGTGTTATTGGATGGAATTAATATTTTCCAATGCTCAGATCTGAAACAGCCTCACCAGTTTCGACAACAAAAAAAAAAATCACAAATCCAAAAGTTCGAAATGACAGAAGAGACCAAAGTAGAAAATCAAACGATGAAGTCAGTGAAAATTTCTAGTCGAGAAAACCTGTGTGACGCAGCACGGCATTTCTCACCTGCCGCAGATCTCTCCCCTTGAGCGTTCTTCCGGCGCCTTCCAGCACCGAAAACGTCGTCGTCTTATCATTTCTGAACGATCCTCGTGCCACGATCTCGTGCGGCGGAAGGATCTCGTCGTCGTCGTCCAGGTCGACTTCCGCAAGCTCACCGCCGTTCCTCGGTTTTCTCGTCATCATCGGTACGTTCACCGGCGCCGATTGCTGGAACCTCCGAATCGGCATCGATTGCGAGTGCGACTGAGGCCTCGGAATCGCCGGAATGTCGCGAGTTTCCGACGCCGGTGGTGAGGAAGGGAAAGCAGACTTCTGGATTATCGCGTCAGGTTTCCGGCGACTCTCCGGCAATGCGACGAGGATGCCAAACTTATCCGGCTGGCGGAAAGCGTGGCGCGGCCGGTGTTCGACGGCGGACGAATGGTGGCGCCGCGGCTCAGAGAAGCCGTCGGTGTAGAAAACTTCGTCTTCGTTGAGCTCGTCGGCGGCGAACCCCGCCGACGACGACGAGGAGATCGCCGCATCGGACGGCGGAGAGAAGAGTCCGATGAACCTACCGGACGGCGATCGAGAGTGGCGATAACCAACGGCTGTGATTTGATCCATCAATTGCACCGTTTTGTTGGGAGCGGTATCTATAATTCGATTATTGGCAGAGACGTGTGTCACTACGAACAGTACATATGATGATACCCAGCAACAGAAAATCCGAATCTCCACACGTTGGGACACGTGGACGGCTGAGATTGCGTGTAGTTTAGTGGGCTTCAAGTTCTGAGCATCGGTTGCGGCGACTGGAGAGTTGCGCTTGCGCTGTTTCACACGGAACCTCTCACGGATAAAGTCTGGTGGTGGGGTCCACACGCTTGACAACATTATTATTATATATTTAATTTATTATTTTATTATTATTATTATTGTTACTCTTCTTGCTTTTTCCGTTGAAACTTTTTTTACTTTTCGTTGTTATCCTCAACAGCGAACGCACGCAAAATCAACAAATCAGATTTTGGTGTTTTTTTAGTTGTTATATTTGTAAATATTTTATAGATGAAAATTAGTCATTGAATTTAATTTTATTTATATTCCATTTTTTTCTTCCATTAATCATGTGAACATATTTTAGACTATTTCGCAAAATAATTAATGTAAAGGGAATGAAAATAAGACTAGTAAAATAAGAACGAAACTATAAATTAAAGCTGAAAGTAATTAAAAAAAAGTTGTAAAAATTTGAAAAAAATACAGAAAAATAATGTCTGGCGAATGAATGATGTATGGAGCTGTTCTGGCCTACTCTTGAATCTTGTTATATTTTTAAATTTTTTTAATAAAATTTTATCCTTTTTTTTTTCAAAAAACATTTTAACTATTTCTTTACTTAGAGCTGCAGAGCTGCAAATGTTCTTGCATTGTTGCTAAGTCCTTAGATTGCATCTACATTTAGTCGGCCTCTCCAACCACTCCGACCTCCTTTCAACAAATTCTCTCCCATAAACTGACCTTCCGGAAACAGATGGTGAGTTGACTTGGGGCTGTTGTCCATCACTAAATTTGGCCTGATTTTGGATTTTGAAATTTTAGAATAGGTTATAAATTATGTTTTAATTTAGTAGATAATATAAAAATATTACATAATCATTCCCGATCGAATTAGAATTTTTTTTAATATATTTTATTAAAAAGATAATTTTTTTTTTATAAAATATCATTGTTAACTAATTGAATGGATCCTTATGAATTGGATTCAATAAGCAAATTCGAAAAATCTCAAGCCCAAAGATCTACCAAAGGCCCACTATAGTCCAATGCCTGGAAGACTAATCGGTATCCATACCGAATCTTACACTCGGAATTTTCCACCAAAGGGACTGACCCGATATTTGTTCGGCACCCCACCAAATCTCCATTGGTGCGTTGTCTGATCGGATTTTAAATATACTATTCATTTTATTTTTTCTCTTCAAAAATATTAAATCAAACATCTATTTTTTATTTTTTATATTATACTAAAAATTAATTTTACGTTCAAAACATCATGTCAACCCCAGTTACTATTCAAATTCAAAATTTTTACTATTCAAATTCGAACTTAAAATCCAAACTCCAAACAAACACACCCTAAAAGGTTTCGGTAAATCTAAGAAATAGTTTCTCCCGTGACCACTCCATCTTAAGATTGTAGGGCACCGTAAGGTGTGTTTGTTTGGAGGATTGGGTTTAAATCCAACTATTCATCCAATTTTTTTCAGCTAAAAAATATCAAATCAGACCCCTATTTTTTATTTTTTATATTATACTAAAAATCAAATTTACATTCAAAACATCACATCAACACCTATTTATATCTCATCATATAACTATTCAAATTCAAAATTTTTACCGTTCAAATCCCAATCCAAATCCAGACCCCCAAACAAACACATAAACAATCGCCAATCCAAAAATGCTTTCCATTTTCCCCTTTATCCCACGTGTCGAAGTTTGATTTTGGAAGAGCAAGAAAAATAACACAATGGCTCACATATGCCTTGACGCTATGTGAGAGAGAGAGAAAGAAAGAAATGCCGCAGGCTCTCGACGTTGCTTCTTCTGCACCAGTTTGTCTTCATGGATTTTTGGTTCGAAAAAATAAAGGCTACCACAAGCTGACTTTGTGCCAAAGGAGAATCGACAACTTCGAATCAGATTTCAAAAGCGTCGCTCCTAGTGCCACTGTTATAGCAATAACAATACCTCATTGTAAAAAAACTTCGAGTAAGAATAAAATGATGACGTGCCTATGGAATTTTGATGATTTGATTTTTCTTCACAAAAAATTCAACACAGTGGCTTTAAAAGTGTGTTTCTTGGAGATCTTGGAAAATTTGGGTTTGAATTTGACATTTACATTAATTTTGAAGTGAAATTGAATTTATGCGTCTGAATTTAGGTTGAGTTTAGAGAGTTTTGATGTGAATTGATTTGATGATAATTAATATAATAATATAAATGTGTATTTAATTGCATAATTTGATTATAAATTTATTTTATATCTACGTATATTTATAAATTTTTATTTATTTGTATTATAAAAAAATTTATTCTCTGCAAAAATGACTCATATCATCCGCAAGCGGGTGAAAGCTACCGTTAGCTGAGAAAACTCGCTTACCTAGCTGAGATCCGGTAGGATGGCCATGACATAGTGTTCGATCGGGTCCACGTGGTGTTCATGATCGGGAAAGCGACTGACATTGTATATATTTTATTCAATTATAATTATTTTAATTTTTTTATTTATAATTTAAATAAACGGATTAATTTCGAATTGAGTGGTTTAAGCCGTTTAAAAAACTATTAGACTAATTTATAGTTCTAATTATACGTGTAATACATTCTGAATATTTTAAATATACACTTAAGGGTGTATTTCTTTTTTATAAGTTTGAAAAAAATTTAATTTGAGTTTGATATAAAAATGTTTGAGATGTTCTATGAGAGAAAAAAATATATTTTTTTTTTTGAAAAATATAGAGTCAAATAGTAAAATTTGAAAAAAATTATATTAAAGAAACGTATTAATATTACAAGAGATAATTAAAAAATAAAAAAAAAAACTGAATTTACACGAATCCCTAGGGCAGTAACGCGGCGCCGCGACGGGTCCAATATATGTTTATTTTCTGATCGGGCGGACCCAAGAAAGCCCATGGGCCGACCCGAATTAGGAGTCAACAAACCCGAAGCGGTGGACGAGGACGACACTACAGAGACACTTTTGATACTTGGCCGTCTGTCTGTTAGGGCTGTTCGTTGAGTTCACCGGAGTGAGTCCCGCCGTTTTAATCTCACCGGAGCAGCGATCATCTGCCTAATTTCAGTGGATCGATCGTATCTGAAATTCCACCAACATCGCTACGGTATTTGCCGATTCGCCCAGTCTCTGTTGCCTCCGTGCTTAATTTCGTGTTTCGAATAGTTCAGGACTCGAATCGACTTGTTTGTTATTATTTGATTTATTCAATTTTTGGTGTTTTTGAATCCAAGTCGAGGGAGCAGTGAACAAGTGATCAGGAGCGATGTCTCAGAGCCCTAGATCTTCACAGGCTCCGTACTTGACGGTGTCGGTGACGGATCCAGCTAAGATGGGAAACGGAGTTCAGGCTTATATTTCCTACAAAGTTATCACTAAGGTACTGTCTTGCTTATCAGTTTTCTGGTTTGTGCTTCGAGTGAGATTTATGGGGAGAGATTGTAATTTGTTGCTATAAATGGATTAGGGTTTGTCCTCAATTCGGATTTTGTATACTGCAATCAGAAATTTCAATTTCCGCTAGTGTTGTTATTGTAGTTAGCATGATCTTTGAATGATTTATGAATGCAATGATGGAGATGAGTTCTTCAAGATTTGTCCTGCGCAATTATTCTAATTTCTTCATTTACATGTTTGATTTCCGATTCTCTAAATTGGAGTTTGATTGCAGACAAATCTACCTGAATATGATAGCCCTGAGAAGATTGTGATTCGAAGATACAGTGATTTTGTTTGGTTGAGGGACCGGCTTTTCGAAAAGTTCAAGGGCATATTCATTCCTCCTCTTCCTGAGAAGAGCACTGTAGGTAATTAGTTGAAGCATTTTTTTAGGTTTATGATCTGCAGCTTTAGATTCTCTCTGTAAGTCAATGCTACATGAATACGCCGTTTCTTCTCATTCACGTTGGTTTTAATTTGCTAGTGTATCACTCTTGTTGCTTGTAGATTTTCAACTGAATGAAACCGGGAAATGCTTTATGTATGCGTTAATGACTTTAAGTTTTCTCAGGACACATAATGTTTATATGATTCTGTAATTTAGGTAAGTCTTTGATGTGGATAATCGTTACACATTTAGTTGGAGATAAAGTTTTATCAGTGCAAGCACCCTTTCGTTTCCTTAGAATGGCGACATACATTTTCTGTAATGTTTATGGAGAAGCTGTTATCCGGTTGCGCCAGTATATACTTTCTGCAAGGATTTTATTTTCATATATATATATATATATATATATTTTCAATTGGTTTTTCTGCATGCAGAGAAGTTTAGGTTTAGTGCTGAATTCATTGAATTAAGGCGTCAAGCTCTGGATGTGTTTGTTAACCGAATCGCTTCACATCATGAGCTGCGCCAGAGTGAGGATTTAAGAATTTTTTTGCAGGCTGATGAGCAGGTAATACCGGATGCTGATAATTTCTCTTTAAAAGAAATTAGTAAATGGGATTATGAAAATTTGAACGACCAGAAAATGATCTATGTGGAAATGGGATACAGTTGGAGTGTCGATCGTTGCAGCCGATCTAAATGGCTTGTTTTGCTTAATTTGCAGACGATGGAAAGAGCAAGATTCACTGAAACTGGCATTTTCAAGAAGCCAGCTGATTTGATACAAATTTTCAAGGTATCTCCTCCCACAATAAAATTGTTTTGGTCAAGAGATGACTCACATACACACAATAGATTGAACCCTTGACCTCTAATGAGCCGATGTACACTTCTACTACTAGACTTTGCTAGAATGCCCCTAAGTTTGAGGCTTAAGCAACTATTAAGAAATCTGTTCGAGTTTTATCGTTTGTCGTTGCTACCAAAAAGATCTTAACACGCATTCTTATGATCTAGCTAGACCTTTTTATATCGTTTTAAGGGTCTTATTTATCTTTGTAGATATTGATACTTTGCTCATTATATTAATCTCTGCAATAATCTTGGAGCTGTTACTAGTTGTGTCTATCGGGAAATGGATGGAAGCATTTCTTTTAACTGTAGGTTTATTGACAGGATGTACAGTCCAAAGTTAGTGACGTTGTTCTTGGAAAGGAAAAACCAGTTGAAGAATCGAATGCTGAGTATGAGAAACTGAAGACTTACATTTTCCAGCTTGAGGATCACCTAGCTGAAGCCCAGAAGCATGCCTACCGTCTTGTAAAGCGGCACAGAGGTATATCCAGATGATTAATTCTTTGAATGGCTCTCTAGAAATTTATCTCTCTCTCTATTTTTGATCCTTTTATGTTCGACTTTAAAATTGCATTTGGTGGCGTTGCTTTGTCAGAGTTGGGACAATCTTTATCTGATTTTGGCAAGGCCGTCAAGCAACTAGGTGAGTGTGAAGGAAATGCTCTCGGAAAGGCATTCGCCGAACTTGGAGCAAAGTCGGAGATTTTGTCTATTAAGTTGCAGAAAGAAGTATGATTTTTATCCTTTTAACAGTTTTTTCGATTTTATCGAGAGAGATTCGTAACATGGAAGGGCTTTCCTATAACTATGCACACATTCTTCCTATTCTTAGGCTCAACATCTGTTGATGAATTTTGAAGAACCTTTGAAGGATTACGTCCGAGCGGTGCAATCAATAAAGGTGACTTTGTAGTTTAGACACAAAATGTAGTATGCTAATGTTTAATCCTGCGCGATTGCTTTGAGGAATGCTCATCATACGATTTTTGTTACTGCTTCTGAACGAGTAATGACGCGACTTCGTCTTGTTTATGTCTCAGGCTACAATGGCAGAGAGAGCAAATGCTTTCCGGCACCACTGTGAACTTGTCGAAGCAATCAAGTTTAAGGAAATCGACATGTACGTTCCTTCTTTACCTTGCTACATTTATGTAACTTCTATGATCTAACGCTCGGTTTAGACATAAGGTTTGAAAATTTTTGAATATAGTAAAAAATTGGATATTTGATACGATGGTTTTGTGAAGGGAAAAAAAGTCCTATCATATTTAGCCTATTTGTGCTCGGCACGGGAATCAAGAAAAATAAATACTTTTTTGAAAAAGTGGAAAAAGTAAAAAAGTAGTTAGAAATATTTTTGGAAATTTAGTTAATAATTAAAAAGAACGAAGAGAGAATGTAATAAAGTTAGTACCGTAAATAAGTGTTGAACGAAGAACAATAATTAAATATAGATTTTTTGATATGGTAAATTTAACGGACGAAGTGAGTATTTGATTTAATATTTTTTGAAAAGGTAATTATTGATAAATAGTAGTCATAAAGTTTCAAAAGTATCTATGTAATTCCATCTGATATCGAGAATCCCCAGCTAGTCGTTATTTCGAAAATTAATAAAATCGGCTCACTGTCGTCTCCATCTGCAGGAACAAGCTGAGATTAACCCGATCAGAAAAACTAGCCGAAGCCGAGCGCGAATACGAGGAGGTTTGTAAACATTAAACTCATGTAATTTTCATACATCCCATGATCAATCCTCCATACTTAGCTACTCTTTGAAATTGCGATGCAGCTTAAAGCTGACGGCATGGAGGCAACAAGAAGATTCGACACAATCGTGAAACGAATGAACGAAGAGATCGCCCGTTTTCAAGAACAGAAAACAATTGATATGGGAGTCGCGTTCCATGAATTCGCCAAGGGTCAGGTGCACCTGGCCAACGGCATAGCCGAAGCCTGGCGAAGCCTCGTCCCGAAAATTGAAGCTTGCTCTGCCCTAACCGCAACCGTGTAGGCGGCGGCGGCGGCGGGACGACGGTAACAGTGCAATTGAATCTAGATCACATCTGGGACTGTAGAGATTGTACAGACGCCAATATACAACACTTTAGGCAACCCAATGTCGTCTCCTGAATAATTTACAGTGCTTTTTCAGATTTGTGTTATAATTGAGTGCTTTTCGTAATTAAGGGTTTGTTCTTTTGTGTTATAAAACTATTTTATATTTTTTTTACAGAATATTTTATTATACATTATTTTAATTTTAAAAAATTCAAATCAAATTTTTTCAAACCCATAGAAAAAACATACCCTTAAATTCATGTTGTAGTGATTAAGAAAATATTTTTTTTTAAAGATTTGGTAGGGTTGAATATAAATTTATGTTGAAGAAAAGTTTAAAAAGGTTTAAGACCATCTTTTAACTCATTACTTTATTTATGCAGGTAAAAATGCAATTGATTTATTCTAATTATAAACTTTAATTTTCACTCTAAAAAAATATATTTTCTATATATTTTTTTATATTATTTTATATAATTTTTTATATTTATAAATTATACCCTAACTTTAATTTATTTTTATAATATAACCCATATATGTATAATTACACATTATATATCACTTTTCGAAAGATAAAATTATATATCACTTTCTAAAATTATACATTATATCACTTTCCAAAAAATAAAATTATACATTATTTTTTCTAATAAATAAATTTACATCTTATTTTTCTAAAAAGTAAAATTATATAATATACCAAAAAAAATAACAAAAATACACAAACACTACAAAAACATCACACAAATTCCACTCAAAAAATGGAGTAACACTAACCCCGCAAAAGTGGGGGAATTTGGATTTGGATTGGATCCCTACCCCCACCCCCTATTTTTGCAGTGGGTTGGAATTGCTATAATTATTTTAATAATATTAGTTAAATAAAAGAGGACAGTTTGGCCGAGTGGTCTAAGGCGCCAGATTTAGGCTCTGGTCCGAAAGGGCGTGGGTTCAAATCCCACAGCTGTCATTATTTTTGAAACTCTTTTTTATTGGAACATTGGATTCGTTCGGTTGTAATGTTTATTATTCTGCTTTACTATACTTCTTACTTTTCTTTATTTTCATTCAAAATATTTAATAAAATTTTTCACCTCAAAACGTTATACTCCCTCCGTCTCAAAAGAAGTGTCATATTGAGAGTTGACACGGAAATTAAGGAATAATAGTATTTAATTGAAAGTGGGTATAAAGTATAATGTAAATGACTAAAATGTATAATTTTGTTATAAAGTGGGGACCACGGCTACTAAATAAGGAAACAAGACAATTATTTTGGGACGGACGAAAATGAAAAACAAGACAAATCTTTTGGGACGGACGAAGTATGTAAAAAGAAAACAAACCCATTAATTTTATTTACTAAGAATGATAACTTATTTAGAAAATGAAATTTATGAATTCTATTATTTGATTATACAATATTATATTTTCAATATATATTCATAAAAAAAAAATTATTAGCCATATGATCATCTTAGTTCTTACCAAATTTGATCAAATCAAAAGTAAGCATGATCCGAACCAACCTTTTCAATTACCGACAAATGGCAACCGTTTCTTGCGGGTAATGTAAAAACTTAACACGGATGGATGAAATCTTTCATTTTTATCCTAGTAGTTCTTTTTATGGAAATATTCTTTTCTTTTCTTTTCTTTTCTTTTTAAAAGACAATAATGAAAATTAGAAAAAAAAATCAAAAAGTGATGACAATATAATGAAAAGAAAAAATTGCAATGCTTTGTCACATCAAATTGATGTATTGCACAAATTGAAGAAGCAAATGTAGTGATTTATTTTATTTTTCAATTCATTGGAATGAAAACCAAATTGTTATAAGTTGAAAACATGCATTGGCATTGCCTATTGCCTATTGCCTACTTAAAATTATTATAATTAGGGTGGTAATATACACTAAAATGTGTGATAAATATAAAATGTGCTTTTTGTGGGAATCTTGGTGCCACACACATTGTCGGAATCAAGACAAATATGGTGCGTTTGGTCGGGATTTTACCTTAAATTTTACTCCCTCCGTCCCAGATATTTTGTTCGTTTTACTGTGGACACGAGAATTTAGGAAGAGTAGAATCAGTAAATAATTAAAAATATATTAATGAAAATAATTATCGTATAATAAAAATAATTATAGATTAAAATTAAGATAAATTATTAATATAATTAAAATTAAAAAAAATTATAATTTAAATTTTTTAAAATAAGATTAAAGTGTATAATTCTTTTCTAAAAATGAAAAGTGATAAAATAAGTGAGACGGACGAAAATGGAAAGATGAACATGAGAAGTGGGACGAAGATAGTACTATATATTACTCACTTCGTTCCACGAATCAAAAGGGTTTTATTATTATTATTATTATTATTATTATTTATTTTATATTAAATTAAGAAATAATACTCCCTCTATCCCATATTTATATATTCATTTGTTTTTTGCATTAAGTTTTATAAATATTAATATTATATTAAGGTGCAGTAGAGATAAAGGTAAAGAAACCAAATTAACCATATTAGTATTGTATGATATAAAAATAATGACATTTATATAATATATTGTAAATTGGAAGGAGATTTGTAACGTTAGGTAGATAGTACAATTATTAAAAAAGTAAATAGATACTTTGTTATGTGAATAACTAATCTAGAAAAATTGATAGATTGTTAAGGGACGGAGAGAGTAATATTTTATTAGTTAGTGGAAGTGTGTAGGTGTTTTTTACATTTGACTTTATATATAAAATAATTGTATGTATAATAGTATGTTTGTAATTATAAGTAAAAGTTAAAGTATTTTAGTATCTGTGTATGATTACTTTTCTAAAATAGAAAAGAAATGTCATGAAATGAGACAAATGTGTTATTGGATATATGCTGTTTTTTTTTTTTTTTTTTTTTAAATATGTACTAAAATCAACACTGTAACCAAAGTGATATACTCCCTCTGTTCCAATACAATAGTCTTATTTACCATTTTTGTCTGTTCCAAAACAATAGTCTCATTTTCATAAATAACCATATCACCATAAAATTATCCCTATTTTTTCATTATTATTACACATTTGCCGCTACTTTTTACACTAATATACTCACAAGGGCAAAAAAGTCATTTATCTTTATTTTTTACCAACTACCAATATAATATCAATATTTTTTAAATCTCGTATCAAACACAATAAGACTATACTTTTGAAGCGGAAGGATTATATATATATATATATATTCTATCCATCCATGTACGTAGGTGAGTGAAAATGGTTAGAAAAGGAAAAAAATAAAACCATATTTGGATATGGATTGAATCACTAACACCAATCAATATTGGGATGAAAGTTATCAAAATGATAGTCAACTAACTTATCAATTTAGGTACCGGAAATTTTGCATGAGAACATAATGTAGTTAATTAGCTGCTCCAGAATAAATAAATAAATAATAATAATAATAATAAATTATATTCATTTGTTAAACAAGCGACTTATATTTCCTTCGTCATCCAAACTTATTCTTAATGTCATTCAAATTTATTATCATTTCCCTTTTAATAAAAAATTACCATTTTTTCTATTTTTTATATTACATACGGAGAAATATGTCGGTACTATAAATAAGTAATATTTTTTTATTAAATTGTTAATTTTTATTTTTTTTAAAAATGTTACAAGATATATATTACTCCCTCCGTCCTATATATTTTGGGTCTGTAGATAGGAGAATTTAGGTAAAATATAATTAGTATGTAATTAAGAAGTATAGTAGTAAAAATAATTATAAATTAAAATTAAAATAAGTAAATAGTTTAATTAAGATAAAAAAATTATAAAATTTAAAATTTAAAATATGATTAAAGAGGATAATCATATTTTCAAAAAAGGAAAGGACAAATGATGTGACAAATAATGTGGGATGAACGAAAATAGAAAATAAGAACAAATTATGTGGGACAGAGGGAGTATATATTTTGTATAAATAAATATAAATTAATATTAATCGAAAAGAATACCGTGTCAAAATTTTTATTATTTATTTATTTATTTTAGTGGAAGAAAACATTAAAAGGGCCAATTCAATTATTATTATTATTATTTTCATTTTATCCATTTCAAATATGTTTGAATATTTTAAATGTTAGAGTTAAGTTTTTTTGGATGATTGAATTGAATATTTGTAATAATAATATTTCTATTGAATCCATATAGATGGTCCGTTATTTAAATTTTATATTTTTTTTTATAAATATTACTCCTTCCGTCCAATGTAATAATAGCTGTATTACTGTAGACACGGAAATTTAGGTAAAGTATAATTAGTAAGTAATTAAGAAGTGTATTAGTAAAAATAATTATAGATTAAGATAAGTAAATAATTTAATTAAAATTAAGAAAATTATAAAATTTAAAATGCGATTAAAGTGCATAGTTATATTTTCAAAAATAGAAAAGACAAATTATGTGAGACAGACGAAAATAGAAAATAAAAACAAATTATGTGAGAAAGAGGGAAATGGAGTATATAATAAACATGGACAACTAAAGTAAATGGAGGAGTCCACCACCCTTGAGCTCTTATGTTTATGTTAATTATTTGTTCTTTTTACGTGATAGTGACAAATTGATTATAAATAATCGTTTTTAGATGAATTGATTTTTTATTATTTTTTTTATGATATTATAACTGTGTTGGTAATATAAAAAATACTCCTTTCGTCCCACATACCATGTCCACGTTGCCGTTTTTGTCCGTCCCACATACTATGTCACTTTTTTTTTTTGGAAAATAATTACACATTTTAATCTCATTTTAAACTTTTTAATTTTTTTTTAATTTTAATTAAACTAATTAGTTATCTTAATCTTAATTTATAATTACTTATATTATAGAATAATTATTTTCACTAATACATTGTTAATTATCTACTAATTACACCTCTCCTAAAATACCGTGTCTACAATGTAGCAGATACGGTATGTGGGACGGAGGTAATAATATTTTGTGTTGAATTATTGACTTTTTATGAGTGGATAATATATATTATATTAATGTATGTATATATTTATATTTTTTAATAATATTTATGAGAAATTGTTTCATTGAAAATATTGTGTGAACAAACTA